GCGGTGCCTCCACTTGATCGACGTCGCCCGGATTTTGGGTTCTCCAGAAATCAATGTAGTCCTCTGCCAATTGCTGATGGAACTGCATCCATAGTTCAAAAGGATTGGGTGCCTGACATTCACTGACAACGACGGCAAACAAAAACCGAAGAGCGTACGGCATCTGGTAGGTGGCCGCTTCCTGAAGACAGTTGTACCACTCTTCATTCCCTCCGAGAAGTCCTAACCGTCGTGCAGCTGCTTGATAAGTTGCCATAACGACACCATTCACTGTTCGGAGGTGTTCGAAGCTTTGAGCTCCGGGGACACTATAGAGCAACGTCCGAAGATAATATTTCTCTACTTGGCGAGGTGAAACCGCATACACGCGCCCGATCGTATCACCAAATCCACGCTGTCGGGGTTCCCATCTACGGGATCTCGAATGGTAAACGTACTGAGCGGGAAAGTCGGGATACAGGAGAAGTCGTGCCTGAGGATCCATTCGATTTCGTGCAAACCATGCAGTCAACGTTGTTTCGCGCTGGCGATCGGCAACGACTTGAGGGGTTTCATCCTCTCGGAACTGCACAGCCTGCTCGTTTTCAAGACGAACGACTAGGCGTTGCGTGCTTGGGTCTTCACGGTCCATCGAAAATGAAAGCAATCTATGGAGAGCCTCGGCAGCTGAAACCTAACGTGCATCGATAAAACGTGTGATTTCGTCCACTTGCTCTTGAGCATTTCGATTGTTATCAACACGATGCATTGCTGCTGATGCACGATCGTGACACTTGTATACATACTTGTACCGGTATTTGACGCTTTCCAGAGAAGTGCAGATTTCGACGTTGATGTGAGTGTTATACCTTGCACAGAGGTATGGATTGTGGGGAACAACCCATCTATTATCCAGTTCGACATGGTTCTTGACCACGAAATCACCATTGTCGCGGCGACGGTATAAAGGGTGACCCCTGTGATTTTCGATAGTTGCTTTGTTGAAGGAACGCGGATAACGCTTCTTACAGGAGCCGTTTTCCATGCATGGAGCCCTGGGATGCATTATTCCACACGGACCGTGCATCGTCCACTTGCTAATGGTATTATAGCGATCTGGATATCTCTCTCTGTCCGGCAATTCAGCTGACACGATATTATCGTAATCATCGAGCGTTTGTGGCTTGTCGTCCGGATGTAACACCAAAAGCAGATGGAGGTGCGGTAATCCTCGTTTTTGAAATTCCACAGTATGGACATGGGCAACCACCCTACCCAAAACATGCTTCTTGGTCAAATCTTCCATGAGAGCTTTACACTTCATGTTAAAAACTCGAGCGCAAAGGTCGGGCCGATCAACAGCTGTCTGGAGTGGAGCCAACTCGTCCTGAATTTCCATCCACTGAGGATTGCAAGTGAAAGTAATAAAGAGATCCGGCTGCCCGCATCGACGTACGATATTCATTGCATCATGGTAAAGTTGGCGCATGTGTCTCGGGCTGCCAATGAAGGTGGATGGGAGAATGACCCTTTGCCCGACGTTTTGGAGGTCATTGTCGCCGAGTTCTACCGCATCTACGATACCTCGGTACAGTTCATAGGGACGTCAATTACATACTATTATATGACTCGAAAGCCAGGTGTACTGGTATTTGTGGAATTGACAACGATCGTAATCCCAGACAAGGAGCAGAATGCGATGGGACTCTCAACACATGTGGATGATCTCCTTTCCCTAGCGGTTCTCCACCTTTCCTTGAAGACAAATGATGCCAACAACTCCATATTCCCAACACTTCCATACCATTACATCGATTGGCATAAGACTCTTCCCAGAAAACGCCGTATATCACACGCCTCAATTGCTTTGTCATACAGACGATAATCGAGAACTTCGCGCAAAGTAATTATTCATATGACGGTAAGAAGTCAGGAAAAAAAAGGTGGTAAATCGTCGTGCTCACATGGAAACCATCATGACTGGCAACTTGGCTATAGGTATGCCTCAGTCTTAATATGCCGTTGATTATTATCCGATACCATTTGTAATCCATGTCATCTCCATCACCCTCGGCAACTGTCTCTACGCCTTCGCAACTCTCTCGACCAAAAGTGACTCTGAATATGTAACGCTACTCATTGTGAAACGAAGCCCGAATCAGGTGAAACCCCCAGTCGTCTTGAAATTGTCACGGCAATCGTTGTTGGTTGTGAATAGCCTATGCACTTTTTTAAACCGGCAACTGACCGATCGATCATCAAATATGAAAATGCCCGACAGAAACGCATATAATAAAAAAAGCTGGGGTCAGGGAATGAAATTATGTATGGGGCAGAACAGATATGGAGTTTAAATTCCTAGCGGAACCATGCATAATGAAAGCCGGTTTATGGGAATGACAATGGAAACAACCATGTCGACAAGTGTGAGGAAAGCTTTTCTTTTTTGTCGATGTCGCTTTGCCGTTTGGACATGTTCGGACGGTTCGAAAGTATATCACCTCGTTGAAAGAATGCTTATCTAATCCTGCTTTGGCAAGCAACGCCAACCGGTAATAGTGCTTGATTTCGCAGTTTCTGTGGATTGCTGCCTTTTGACCTAATCGAAGCAGAAAGAGGGGGCGTATTATTGGCACTCTTTGTACAAATTCACAGCGTAATCTGCTCGTCTGTTTTCGTCATTTTGTCGGGAAAAAAACCAAAGGAAAATGTGATGAGTCAATTACTCAAAAGAGTAACTTAATGAGCGCCACTGCAAGCTTCTTCCTAATGTCCAGTGTGCGAGGGATTGTAATGGAAGAGATGCTGCATCACAGGATGGGCGTAAGCGGCCGTTAGATCGTTTTCCGAGGATATCTTGGGCAAATCCAAGTCCTTACGCGCAAAAATCCTTCAAGAATGCATTAGTAATGTATAATTTGGTCTAAATCGCAAAACCACTTACAAGGATTCAATGGCCAAGATGACATTTCTTGAGGGTTCTTTCTGGACTTGGCAAGTTGCAAGAGGGAAATACGTGATTCAAGACCGTCAATGAGATCGTCCCGAAAATCGTTGAGGGAAGGGGAAAAAAAGAAGAGAAATTATGGATGCGTTTAGCCAGCATCAACATATAGCTGAGCCTACCTTGAGCGTTTTTCTGATCAGATCAGAATCCGGTATAACAAATGTTTGGTGCCAGCTCAATTCGTCAAGCACGTGTGAGCGGATTGTTGCCGATGGGACGAGGTGAAATATTCAGCCGGAATATCACCGTACAAGCAGCGACGTGAAGGACGAGGATCGAAGGACATTGTCTTTTCGATAGAAATCAATTTGTAAAATAATTGCAAATAAATAAATTACAAAGAGTTAGCCTTAGCAAAAGTTGGGGTGTTCGTGGCCGCTTCTAAGGATATCCTCAGGGAAGTCATTGTAGCTCTTTGAGATTTTTGAGATCGCCGATAAAACCATTGACTTGAATATGTGTTGGTGGAACTAAAAAAAAAGAAAACGGGATTTTTTGTCTGCCTGCAGACACGCTTCGAGGATAGGTCTACTGAATGAGGAGTTTCTAGCGTAACGACGAAAAGCCCAGGCCCCAAATTTCCATGGAAGCGACTTTGGAAATCAAACATTATTTTGATCCCGGCACCTTGGTGCAGATAACTTGACTCGGTCGTCGGATCGGATCAAGTAATCCCCAGCACTGTAGCGGATTCGATACGGAGTACAATGCTGGTCTGCGGTGCAACGGTAACAGAAAAGAACAAAAGATGCGCAAACGACGGGCCTACTTCCATTTTGCCGGTTATTGTATCAAAAGATCTGAATACATTTCGGAGGAGGGTCGGTGTCAGAAAATGGCGCTGGGATCAAGGGCCTGCCGTCTCAAGATTTGAAAAAGATGAGTAAAACGTTCATGTGGAATCCCGTAGAGTGAGCGCGCCATTTTTGCTTAAGGACACATATGCACCCCTCTAAAAAGCGGACTGCCTTCCAATTTGATCGGTCCAACAATATTCCTCATTTAATATTCAGAGAAAAACTATACTTGCCAGATATTTGGTAGATGCGCCCGTCAAGTTGACAGTGTTCTACTGATGAGAACTGGCTTTGAAAACCCAACGAAAAAACTTTATATGAAAAATGGCTCTGTTACGCGAAGTACTAGACCACTTTTGTCTGGAAAAGAGTATTTCGGTTGTTCTGGAGTCGGCTGTTTGAGACGACAGTACCTGCAGAAAACAAAAGCGCAGGGTGGATTTCTAAATTCTACATAAGAGTCATGCATTAAGAGCATCTCCCCCACCCCACTCCCCCCTTGATTTGAGTGGAGATAATTGCATCTGGTTCGAAGTGGTAAAAAATTTTCTGCTTAGGAAGGACGAATCGGATAGCAATAAAGTTTTTTGCCCGAAAAGGCGCTCCCCGACATCCAAACCAGAAAAAAGAGCCCTGTTCGGACATTGTAGGAAAGAGGAACCATGCCAATTAAAGAGGAAGAATGCCATTGGTAAGATGGTCGGGACCTAACAAGTTGTTGGGGCTTAATGTTCGTCCTACCTCAAGATTACCATTCTTTTTCTGCTTACCTTGTCCAAGCGCGCAATTGAGAAAACAGATGCCAGAAATTTTAACTCAGCGAATGATTGGATCCCGCACCAATTTGCAGAGAAACTTACTCAGCTCCTGATCATCAAGGGGAGCAAACAAAACTTACCATGTATCGTCGTTATGGAGTGTTGGACGGTCATGTTAAATGCAATTGCTACAATGGGTCTGGAACAGGGTTTTATAGCGTGAAACAATCCCCTTGGCCGTATCAAAGGTCTATATCTCAACCGTTTCAGTAAATATTGCCTTTCGACGTGAGGTGATCGAGCCAAAACAGAAAGGACCGCCGCCGAACGGGGTTACAGAAAGCTGCGTTAGGTGTAACATTGTACGAGTCTGTTAATTAACGGTGTCTGTATAGTAGGCAAGCATATGGTGACACAAAATAAGAATGTATGCTGCTGACATTTTTCGATAATCAGATGAAAAAAAAAAAAAGAAAACCTCACAAACATAATAAATAGGGCACCGTTTGTTGCAAGCTTCGGTACGTTCTCAGCAATCTTCATTTGTTCAATTCCATTCTTTTACTTTTACCTTACCTTTCTCAATCACACTCCTTACCCATTGTATTGCTGGAACAATGCAATTGATTAGCCAAGGCATCGCACTTATCGCTCTTGCTGCCGCCACCGTGAGCGCTGGCTCGGATAGCAATCCCAAGAACTGTATCATGGAATTCAGAAACGCCAACTTGCATTCGACTCGCACCTTCTTGACCCTCCAAGGAACATCGGCTGTGAGCAACGAAGACTGTTTCGCCTGGGACGTGACATCGCGTCCCGCCAGTATCATTCGCGTCCATACCAAGAACACCGTGACCCTGAAGGATACCTCCAAGAAGACTTACAAGGGCGATGACTTCAAAATCACCGTGCCTCACTGGTTTTACCCTGTCAAGAAGTCCCAGAAACTCAAGTTGTATTTGCCTTTGACCTCTGAGACCATCATCGAACTTGCTGATGGCAAATCTTCCCCTTCCACCCCATCGCACTCCAACAACTCTGACGATGATGATGATGATCATGAAAAGAAGAAGCACAGTGGTGACGATCACAAAGTGAAGAATCAAAAGAAGAAGAACGACGATGACGATGACGATGACGATGATAAGAAGCACAAGAAGCATGATGATGACGACGACGATGATGATAAGAAGCATAAGAAGCATGATGATGATGATGATGATGATGATGACGATGATGAAAAGAAGCACAAGAAGCACAAGAAGCACGATGATGATGATGACGACGACGATGATGATAAGAAACACAAGAAGCACGATGATGACGACGACGACGATGATGATGATAAGAAGCACAAGAAGCACGATGATGACGATAATGATGATGATGATGATGATGATGATGATGATGATGATAAGAAGCACAAGAAGCATGACGACGACGACGACGACGACGACGACGATGATGACAAGGATAGCGGCTCTTCCTCCTCCAGCGGCTGGGTCAAGGGCAAGGTTACTTTCTTCACTCCCAATCAAGGTGCCTGCGGTTGGTGGGACGATGATCATTCGATGATTGCTGCTCTCGGACCTGGTGTCTATGGTGATATGGATAGCGAATCCAAGTTGTGCGGCAAGAAGATTAAAATCGAAGGCCCCAAGGGTAATACAATCACTGTCAAGGTCGCTGATGGTTGCCCGGAATGTTCTGATGAACATCTCGATCTTTCGCCTGCTGCTTTCGCCAAACTTGGCGACTTTGACACCGGCATTCTCAAGGTTAAATGGCGATTTGAATAGATTCATACTCTAGCATTAAAACTTTTTGATTGAACGATATGCAGAGCATTCGTCAATGTAGTTAGTTTTTCATTTTAACATCCTGTAATTCCCTTTTGGCTGGTTCAAACTAAGGAAGCATAACAAGTGTTTTTTACTCGCATCCAAATTTTTCGCGCTATCTTTTTCTTCTGGAAAATCTAAGAATTGGTGGGCCGTGCCACAAACATATGCACCTAATTTAATCCAAACACCGAGTGGCACATGCTACTCGACATGATGGCTTGACGACGCCCTTCATATTTAGTGTAAACAGTATGCATGACAATCCGACTACATCAACAATAGAAAACCTTGTGCTTTCGTCTTCACAAACCTTCTACGCATTCTCAAGCTAATAATTCAGGCACGTAGTAAGTTTTATTTGTTATCATGGTATATGCTATCAGAGCTTTAGACGGTTCACATAGTGATGATCTAGCATGTGGATAATTGCTTGAGCAAGAGTAAAGGTGAACTTGTCGCGATTTTCGGTCACTAAACGTAGATGCTTTGGTATTTCAATCTGGATAACGTCTACGCCGGGCTGGTTGGCCTTGGCATAGTATGTCTCGGTAACATATCCACCACTGTAAAACGATTCGTTATATCCAACTGTAGAGAAAGCAGGCGACGGCATGACATTGACATCACTGGCAAAACTGGAAAGAAACATGCCAAAAGACTTTTTTCCTGCGACAAATTCAACAGGACTGATATAAGGATATCGCGACACCAAAGACTGAATGGATGATCGAGTCCTTATCGCATGGTTCAACGAATTTTCCGGCAGCGCCAAATCCGGTTGCTCCAGTAGGTAACCGAGCTCCACCTTCTCGTGAGAGTGTGTTTGTCCTGACAGTCAGATATTCTTTATATAAGTAACAAGATCCACAGGTGGGAAAAAAAAGTTGCTCTACCATGAATATCCACCAATAAGCCATACGTATGCGCCTCTGTCACAGTGACAATAGAGGATTTGATATAATCGTGGTATTGCTTTGGATCCGTTAGTATCATGCAAAAACTTCAACTACGTGGTTTCAGAATTCAGCCCATACCTTCCATATGTCTCTTCCTGAGTCAGAATCGGCACCAACATCGACGGCTCGATTGGGATCAACTTTCGATCGGTGGACATTGCACATGATTAAGTGCGGCCTTTGCTGGTAATGGTTGGCCACAATTCCCGCTACTGACGACGCAATTTCTGCGGTATACATGTCACGCACAAAGGAACTGCCATTATGTCTGCGATCAGGTATATCCGCGGGTTTCAACGTTCCCCCGTGGGGAGCCCCGATAATAAGTGGTAAAGTGCCAGAAATGTAAGTCAAGTAAGTCTCTGAGGATTCCATATAAAACTGCTGATAGCCATGAACTTTGTTGTGACAAGCGATGAATGCAATCAATATCCACCGCCAAGCGACGTTCATTTTGCCCGACTGGAGTTTCTGCGACGTTGATCAGAAACCTGGGAGTCGTTTCATCATCCGTTCGCACTGAGTTTGGAAACGCCAATTGCCATTTTAGGGAGGTACTTTGTAAAGATGAAGTAACTCGAAAGCACCATAATGCGCATCCAACGACGTTTTTTTTTCAACGCCTTCACATCTGTGCCAAGACAAAATTCTCTGCTGTTAATAACTCGGCAATTGAAATTTAACATGATCTCTACAGCTTAAATAGCAGTAGTTATAACTGCAGTTATTTAGGTTTATTTGTGATCGGACCTTGTAATAAATCGTTGAGTAACCCTCCTATTACGTGGCACTGGGGCGCCAATGCCCAACTTGACCTTAGTCAAACATGTGTCAAAACAACGATTCTATACAAAAAGATAGTATTGCATACACCATCAACTTGAACGCAAATGATTAGTGACTTTTGTATGAAAATTTCTGAGAGTTTTCACAATGCAAAATTAAAAGTCAGTCCACTTGAAGCCCCATTCCGGAGATAAGAAAATTCAGCACCATTGCCTACAACCCAGTGACCGCCACCTGTGATGCGGGTTTTTTTTTTCTTTTGAATGATAGATGGTCACATGCAAACCCCTTTGATTGCTCTCTTTCCATTTTTTCTCGCACTTTTTCCTTCTTCATGGTACATCCTGCAGTACCTGCCGCAGTGATTGTAGTAAGCATCATCGCTATATGGGGCGGCTGCGGCTGGGCCAAGGACTGGTGGCAGCAGCGTGCCGACAGAAAACAGTATGAACAGTATTGCCATGAACACCATCACGAAGGCCAGCACTCGCAAGAAAATGAGTGGAATCATGACTATCAGCATCATGAAGAAAGCCATACGACGGCGAGAAGAGAAGAGAAGAATACGAGCCAAAGACGCCCATTTTCCAACAGGCAAGAGGAAGACCGTTCTTCGGACATCGAACTTGAGGAACTTGAAAGATCGATACACCATCGCAAAAAGATATTGGAGGCAGAGCAGCAACGACTGGCTGAGGCAGAACTGGAGTTTCTAAGGCGAAAACAAGACCTTCAAAATCGGATGGACAACATTGCAGGTGCTACTGATCCTTTCGACGATAAATACGAAAGTTTCGAATCCAGCATGACCGAAGTTCCTGCTCCGCAACAGGAAAAATATCAAGAGAATGGTGATGATGTTTTCCGTGGTTTGCAACCAGAACCCAATCACTTTACGCTTTTTGACTCTACGGACCATGCAGCCGTGTCTGCTCCTGGGAACCCTCCGCAGAAACCAATTTTACCAGAAACAGAAATACAAAACTTGGATGACGAATATTGGGCAGATACGGACAACGACGAAGACAATTCACTCCATCTCCGGTATCCAAAAAGTGCTCAGCACAATTCCAATTCTGATTCTGAAGAAAGTTGGCAAGGTGTGGGAAGCATAACCTCGAGCGAACGCTCTCGTTCAAATTCCGCTGGTTCATCCTCATTTGACATGTTAGACACTTCGCATCTGTGACCCAGCCGGGCTTACAGTTTTCCGGTTGTTACTTAATTGTTCACGTCATGTATAGAAAATACATTTACGGTATGATCAATACATCATAAAAACATGATTCCATGTTGGTTAGCATGAGAAATAAAAAATACCATGTTGGTGAAATTTTTACAGAGCCAACTATGACTTACTGATGAAGCTAGATTAAATGATGTAACTCCCTAATCGATTATATTCCCATACTATGCTAGGTGCATTTCGATAGAGAAGATGCTCTTTTTCGCGTAGGCGACATTCCCATAATTCACATGTCGACTCACTGTTTCATCACTTACGCCGGTGGAAAATGTGGATAAGTTGCTCACCCGCGACGCCATCAAGTTCGGTGCAGTCCATGGATTCTCTCACGGTATTGCCATAATTCCACGCGTTGATGATGGCTTTCGTTTGTCGAAAAGGGATCCTGTGACTATTTTTGGGTTATTCTCCGTTCAATAATGTGGTATGGAGGGAGAGATGAATGGATGCTTTACATTTTCTCCCACTGAAGACGGAATACAAATCTCCAAGATCGCGGCTTTCGATCTTCTTCATATATGTGAATGTTACTCACTAGATTCCTTTTGTCGGAAGTTTCGTTCCAGCCCAAATATTCTGGAAGAATCCGCCTACGAGGCTTTCGATGGCGTCTTGTGTCGAATGGTGTACCTTTGAGTGCGTCTTTCCCAGCACTCAGGGACTGTGCCTCAACATCCACAACAGGGCTGAGCATTCTGCATCGAAAAAAAAAATAGATGGCTTGTTATTTCGTTTCGGTAATAATCAGGATTATTTTACCTTGCATAGCCGCAGAATTCACCGCTGCCTGTAATGCTGAAAATTAGATACACTTCCATGCTCGACTGTGAAATCGAAAGGATCATGTAAATTAAAGAGACCTTTGTGACTACTGAGGCCTAAGAGCGGGTTTACCTCAAATGCAGAGTTAAGAATATGCATCTTGTAGCGTGGGATTGACCAATAACCAATGTGTATGCTGTGCTCTAAATCTTGTGGTGCCCATGGCTTCAGGACAAAGTATCGGACTCGGGGAGGGTAGTAGCTCGGCCAATTTGCCATTATGGGACCGTAAGTCGGAGCCGCAGAGCTATCCTGCCATACATAGTAGCCCTGTTGGTACCATCCTGATTGCATGCAAGCTGGCGCGTTTGTGTAGTCGACCATCTGTTTGGGCAAACACTGCCCATTATCGGTTTTCTGGACGATAACAACACGTGTCAGCCAAAATAACTCTTTTATCATGCCATCAAAACGAACAGACTTACTGTGACATTCGCCAATGTACCGGAATGGATTTCTGGTCTTTCTTCTTCGCTGAAATATCCATATGAGACTTGCTGTGGTGGTGATGGTGTGCTAGGCTGAGGCATATGATACACATTAGCTGCGTGTCTGATACTTATTGCATTGTCACTTACCACAAACGGAATACATCGCAAGATACTTCCACGGAATGCTATTCAACATAGTGCGGTCAGAGAAAATGATCAATTGTTCATCGTGATACTCTATTCTACGAGCCTGTGTTATTAAATTGCCATATGCTTTTGATCATAGACTCGTAAGTGCGATAAGTGATGTAAGCTTGATGAACGGATCGAAGGTAACGAATTTGCTAAGAAGGAAGCGATTTAAAGACTCCAAATTCTATGACACGCATGTCAAGCCGTATTTTGACTTACCAGAATATCAAGATGATAAAATAGCTGTTGCAACTCTTTGAAACTGACGTTTGGGCTGATACCTTGCACCAACATAATTACCGCATTCTGTGCGTTCATTGCATAAGATTGTTCTTCAGGCGGATCCATCAAAGCCATTGAACGTTCATGATCTCTCGGATGACGCGTAGATAGGACATACGGAGTATGATCTATCGTAATTCGACGTTGATACAGTCGCGATACACGTTTGCCACTGGTGGTTCGACCGTTTACTTGCTCATTTTTACCATACTGTCGAGAATTATTGCTGGTGGAGCCGGCTGGCAGTATCAAAGGCGAAATATGGTTATCTGCGTATGATGGATTGATATTTCTCGAATCAGAGACCGCGGTAACGAGAGCCGGTTTCTGAACCGGGGTCTTTTCTGAGGGGCTAGAGCGCGTTCGTAATTGCATAGCGTCGAGATTTATCAAAGTGGTATGCAGCGATTTGCTTTCTACCATTGACGAAATCGTCACCGGTGGCGAGCAAGCTTTGGGGCTCCACATAGTCGAGAGTATGTCGTTGTAATCATCATGGAGAGAAGTATCCGAGGAATGGCCTTCCCAATCGTAACGACTTGGCGCCGATGAAGCGTATAAAGGTGGTTGATAGAGATCTTCATACAAATCGAGACTACGAGATAAACCTAGTTCGAAGCCTGGCTTCCATTGCGCAGCGGAATTCAAGGGTATAGGTGTAGAAGACCGTTCGCGATCAAAGCCGATCGATGTGTCTTGTTTATGAGGGATGATAGCATGTGAATAGTCGCAACAATAGCCGTCCGCTTCCGAATGGTCCGTTAAGAGAACGCTCAGGTTGCCGTCGGAGCTCGAAGAAATACTGGGAGTCAAATGCAAGGAATGAGGTCGGTCCATGTTCTTGCTCGAGGGTTCAACCATCGTCTTCTTATTATCATGTTGCTCGTCATACAATAATTCTCTTCCAATCATTTCTTCCCACTCTTCGTCGGTCTCGTATTTAAAAGGACCTTCGCGAGAAGTTGAGGGGATAGCGGAATACGCGTTATCAAACTTTTGGCGTTCGTTATCACCGTCTGCAGCACTTCCGCAGCGGCTCAAGGGACGCCGCAGTTTCTCCTGAAAAAGGTGCGAGTTAGATAGTGAGCATGACTCCTATTGTCTGTAATATAGCCATCGGTTCCAACGTCACCGTGATCGCAAATGTCTTTCACAAGTGCTATGGTACGTACCATGGTAGATGGAAGAATTCCCGTTTATTGGCTGTCGAGATGAAAACGGAGGGTATAGCAAAGCGTGTTCAGGTATTTACAGTAAAACGCTCCTTGAATTGCGGAGCAGTATATGTAGACCGAAATTTGCTTTCACCGCAATCCGAGGAACAGCCGAAATGGGGTGACAGAGGAGAAGATCAAAGGAGAGTATCAACGGATTTAAGCTTTAAAATTGTAATTCTAAAGCTTGAGGGAATGACGACATCAATGGAAATCTGTTTACACAATTGGCACACATCGTGGAACTGTGCCACAGTGTTCAGGTGATAATCGCACACTTCAAGGTCAAATGCGGGTATTTCAGCTCTCCTAAAAAATAAAAATAAAACTGGAATCACGGTTGCCCACCATTATGCACCCTTCTTTTCACATATTTTACCAAACCAGCATATACTATGCCAGAGATTCGCATACAACCTCGTGATGTCTACGAGCATTATGTGTATGTGGAGAGGAAGAATACCACTTTGCAGTGGCGATTCTCTACAAAGAAAAAGAATATATCCTTCGGTTTATTTTTTCGACCAGGGCCGCCCGTGACCCATTTACAGAATGCCGAACTTGAATCGGTCGTAACCTCACAAGAAAAAAGACTCACATTATGCGAAGTTGACGGTCAGTTATCTACGGTCTCTACTTGGCGGCGATCCTCGAGCGACGACAAGCGAGATTCATCGCCTGTTTCGGAGTCCCTGCAGGATCCACTCAGCGCCAATGGTATCCCTTCCCTTGATACTCAGGCTGCCATGCGAGAACGGCGGCGTAGTTCCACACCAATATCACCAACGCATGCTATTGCAGCAGTTGCAGCGGCAAGAAGGCGTAAATCGGTGGCATCCATCAATTTGCGAGACAAGGATTTCGAAGAAATTTTGCCTATTGAGCATGTGAATTCGGCTTCCGAGGAAATTGTCGGCATATATACTGTGGGAGAACCTGGGAATTATGTACTGTTGTTTGGTAAGCTGCTTTACCAAGGGATGCAAAAAAACCGAGCTAATAATTTAAATTAGACAATACCTATTCGAAAAATACCTCAAAGATATTGTCATTTACAGTAACAAGTGACGAGACCATCAGAGAGGCATTCAAACCAGGTGAACCCTGCGATGTATCTGGATGGCTGTTGAAGAAACGTAGAAAACGTATGCAAGGTAATACAGTACTACATGACATATGCAATAAACGGTACAAGAGCTAATACTAACTCTTCTTTCAGGATGGGCGAAACGTTGGTTTGAATTATCGCCGTCCGGTGTCTTGTCATATTCCATGAGACCAAACGATATGAAACGTGGATCCATTCAAACCATGCTATCCACCATTTCTATTTATCCTCGACAAAGAACGTTACATGTGGATTCCGGCGCTACTATTTACCATCTGAAAGCTTTATCGGCAGAAAATTTCGATATGTGGGTCACAGGTCTGCGCCAATGTCGGACGATGTCGTGTAATCCATCACCGGATATCGTAGTCGACGAAGCGTGGTTAATGGCGGAATCGTTATCGGATAAAAGCGAAAGAGCGCACGCTGACAAGACAATTATGAAAAGCTTGGAGAGTATAGATCAAGAACTCAAGCTAATGCGTACTGCGGTGGCCGAGCTGAGGGTGCTGACAGAACTCAAACAATGGGCAGCCACCAGTCCATCGGGCGACCTTCATCCATCTACTGCAACTATGAGCCCAGTAGGACCTTCAACCGTACCAAAGCGACGATTTCCGTTTAAACGCAACGTCTCACAGCCATGTGTGATGCCCCCTTCAAATAACACCTGCCTTGAAGCAGAGAATGGCGATATCTCGTCGCAGACCAGTTTGATGGACATGCTTACGAAATCAATCGAAGTTATTGCAAGATCCCGGGACGAATTGCTAGCAGGCTATATTTTACAACAGCGTATCAATTCTCAGCATACATGCAGTTATGACAGCTCTGGTACTTACAAGGAAAAACGAGCACACAATGTATGCAATAGCTAACACGTGCACATAGAATGCAGTTATCACAGCTATACAAACAACTCCAAATCCGATTTCACGTTACACCCATCCAGCAGCGCTTATTCTTTTTGTGCGTCCCTGCATTCTGATTTATTCTACGACGCGCAGGATTTTATCTTGAGCCATGATGACGACGAAGATGCGGACGAAGAAGCAATCAATGTGCACGGAAGCATCATTGACACAGACGGCGAAGATGACGAAGATGGGTCATTTGATGGTAACGTAAAAACTACACAGAGGGTTACAAACCTTGCAAATTCTTATGGTATGTGTATGGATAGATCCATTGCCATCTATGCATTCATTACAGCTTATGTCCCTTTCAAAGGGACAGCAAGTGCAACGACGTACCCATCTTCCTCATCCTGTGGCAGGACACAGCGTTTCGGCGTTATCGATACTTCGTAAAAATATCGGCAAAGATTTATCCACCATTGCCATGCCTGTCAGTCTGAATGAGCCACTCAACCTGTTACAACGACTATGCGAAGAATTGGAATACTCGGAACTACTTGATAAAGCGTCTATGATGGAGTCGTCCATGGATCAACTGGTGTACGTTGCTACATTTGCCATATCGGGCTATGCTTCCTCCCAGTACCGCTTGGGTCGCAAATTCTGGAATCCGCTCATGTCAGAGACGTACGAGTGCATACGGCCAGATCGAGGCTTTCGATTTATTGCAGAAAAAGTATGCCATAATCCAAACATTATAGCGGTAAGAAATCTTTTGCACAAATACTTTATTGCGCTTTTGGCAGAAGTTCTCATATATTCTTGTTGTTATACATTGCAGTGTCATGCAGAGTCCAAAAATTTCAAGTTCTGGCAGACATGTCAGGGCAAGACGAAATTTTGGGGTAACAAACGTCACTGCAAATGAGCCATGGAAAATAGTTCAAGCCAATATGTTTTGTTATAGGTAAATCGATGGAGTTAATATCGGAAGGTATCATCCACGTATCCTTGGGAGGGAATGACTTTAGTTACAACAAGCCGTCAAGTTGGATGCGCAATATGATTGCTGGCTCGAAATACCTGGAACATGTGGGCGAAATGCGAGTCACCAATCATACAACTGGCGAGTATGCAGTCGTCACCTTCAAAGAATCTACTGGCGGCGGACTCTTTGGTGGACTACCTTCAAATCGAGATTGCGTTGTGGCTCAGTTCTTCGATAGCCAGCATAACAAATTACGAGAGATCACAGGAAAATGGAGCGAAAGTTTATCAGAAGTGATTGACAAGGATCAGTACATCGTATTATGGAGAGCACATCCACCGAGTTCAAGCAATCATCAAGAGTATTATGGGTTCACCCAGTTTGCCATGGAATTGAATGAAATAACAGAAATCGAAAAAGACATGATTCCTGTAACGGACACACGTTATCGGCCGGATCAGCGTTTATTTGAAAATGGTAAATTTTCAGCGAAAGGGGAGAGATGCAACATGTTATAGATTTTCATACCATCTCTGGATCAGGGGAAGTCACCAGAGCGGATGATGAAAAGTTACGGGTCGAGCAATTGCAACGCGATCGAAGAAAAGTGTTCGAGGCGGAAAGCAAGGCTTGGTTGCCATTATGGTTTGAACCTCAAAATGATCCTGCAGCATCGTCTGGCGAATCGTGGCAATACAAAGGCGGATATTGGGAAGCTAGAAACAGTGGAGACTGGCCAAACGAAATGCTGACTCTTTGGTAACCAATACATAACATATAATGTAATGATACGAAGCCGTGATCAGCAAACATGCTTTTCGGTTGGGTCACACGTAGAATGTTATTCCTTTTTTTTTGGAAATTTATATGACACATATAGAGATACATACCACACTACAGCCGTAACAACAAAGAATAGTTCTCTTTGGTTTATATTCGTTTCTCAAGCACGTAACTGATCAGAATATTTGCACGCTTAAAGACACAAAATTTTATGGGACAAAATGTGGACGCGCCGATTGTGGTGATACCCTTATTGACAGTGCTTCGCCGAATTATTTGATTGGCCGAAATCTGTCCACATATTCCCATATTTACGAGTCGAGGTCACAAATGCTGAAAAGCATATTGAATAAAATGTTTTCTTTATCAACAGATATAACGATCCATCACAGACTATAAGCAGGTGTAATCACAGAACTAACGATTCATTCCTTTATTATCCAGCCTCCTCTTTTCTTTTGTTCTTACTAAATGTCGTCTCAACAATTTATATCTTTCTGATTACGATCAATTTTTGTTACTTCTTCACCAAACATTTCATTAGAGTTCAGAGGATATCTGGAATATCTTATCACAGACGCAGTTTGCACGGATTTCCAAGTTGCATAATGCAGCTGCTGTTTTGCTTTATAATGCTTCGCTTGCTTATGAAGCTTTTCCCGGTAAATTTATTGCCTCATTCTCTACGTCAGAAGAGATTCATGTAATGGAACAAAGCCGTCTTGCCGATCGTTGCATGACTCTTTATTGGAGCCAAGATTGTGAGTATTGCCCATAACAGTGACTGTGTACATATACCGCGCGTCAAGCTCATTGGCTCTATATTCAGCTTACTGTGCAACGACATACCTAAAAGGCAGCTTCCTCCACCGGGCCTCCTACATGACCATCAATTGTCAGTCTCATGAAAACACCAACACAGCAATATCTTGCACTAAGCCTAACTCTTTATATAAGCAACCTATGACAATCTCGGCAATTTGCTCACCACAGATCAGCGCAATTGCATGCGTGAATTAAATGTGTAAATTTCAACCGACTGGTGGCGAAAATATGTGTATTGAAGAAGTTTAAACGGTCAAGCATGCTAGACCATGAAAGGCAAATCTTTCTCGATGTCCACTTTTCTGAAGAAGAAAACCCGTCTCTCTCAAACGACGCTACAGGTCAAGCGGTCCAAACAGCCCAGGATGAAGAGTGAAGAGCCTGAGCCTGAGCCTGAGTCTGAAAGTGAAATTGAGTACTTCGTCATCTTCAGATTGTGGTGGACAACTTTGACAAAGGAGGATTTTTGTAGGGTTCTTCGAAAGATGTGAGCCGGAAATTGTAAACACAATGCGGAGCAAAACAGACTACGTTGGACGTTTTTTTGAGAATCCAATAAAATATCATAATCCCGGATCTTTTTTGTGAAAAAAGTGAGGTTTGGGAATTCTGCAGTGCTTGGAAGTGGATCATCCTTGATCCAGAGAGGAAAGAAATAGGGTTGGAAAAGAATAAGAGGCATTATTTTTTTCCCATCAGTGATTTTCACTTTTTAATCAGTAAAGAAGTATGCACTTTTCCCATCAGTGATCCTCACTGTTTTAATCAGTACCATCAGTGATTCACATGTTTTAATCAGTAAAGTAGTATGCATTTTCTTCCATCAGCGATGTTCGCTATTTTAATCAGTAAAGGAGCACTGTATGCATCATTTTATCCCATCAGCGATTTCATTGTTCATCAGTGCAGTAGTAGGCATTATTTTTCCATGAGAATGGCATATAAAACGACTGCCGTCCAGGCTTTCTCATGTCTCCCGCATTTTCATCTTTTAATTTTCATTTTTTTTCATGCCCCCTGAAAGACGCCGCATACAAGATGAAGATATTCCTCTCCCACAAACCATTGTACCCATTTCGTCGGTTGAAGAAGCACGGCAAGCTCTCTCAAATGCATCCACATAGTTTATTTTGAGCAGTATTAGAACACTGGCTATCAAGTATAACGAAAAACACGACGACGATTTTTGGGATGATGTAGAGCGCTATGAGGCGGCTTTAGAGACCTTACTCGCTGATTTTCAACAGAGAAGTTATCTGCCCAGAGGACTGTTGCAAGGCATCGAAGACAGAGCAGGTGTTCGACGTGGTCTTTTCACAGCAAATACCACAAGAAGTTCAATTTTATCAATATTTGGAGAAATGCCTTGGATCAATTCTCGGAACTCAGTGTGCAAGCCAGGCAGTCCGTTGCTGCAAGCTCTGTTGCCGGAAGTTCTACGGCTGAAAGTTCAGCTGCCGCGACATCATCTCCATCTCAAGGATTAGACGAGCAGATCCGAACATGCTCTGTTTCACTACGATCGATATTTGCGAGGAGACTTGTCTTCAAATCCCACGGATATCAAATCTGTTTTCGAGCAAATGGCGATTTCAAAGACCAAATATACAGCGGATCTACTTGTTATTATCAGATCTATGATGATCCATTGCACCACAAATAAGTCAGAAAGTAAGTACAGAAGCAGGGTGAAAACCGACTTGTATACAAGTATACTCATTTTTACCAAGGCCGGCCTGATTCTCGCATTGCTGCAGGCGGTCTATGGTCGTCAAGGTTGTGAGCGTGTCACCTGATCGGTCGCAAAATCGAGGTCATGTGACTGGTCGTCGATAATCGCGGTGACTAGTGAATCGTCTGTGACAGTGTGGGGTAATCGGAAATTGCCCCATTTGCGAACAAATCCAAAAATTGAAGGGAAATCTCGTAAAAGTATATCCGTTAATAACGCAGCCTGTTTCTTGGATCAAATCAAGGGACAAAAAAGCTTCAAAATTCACACACATTATCAAAACATGCAGAAACGGGAACAAATAAGTTATGTCGGAGAGCGGGGCTCCAAGGTTTTAGTTGCCACGCTCGACGGAAACAAGATCGGGGAACAATAAGGAAAAAAGGAACGTTTGGGGAAGAAATAGCGGGATATGAGGGAGCTGCGGCTACACTAAAAAAGTGATCGTTTCGTAAGGCAGTGCTTAGAGTTAAGACGTCGTCACTAATCAGTTGGCAACCGATTTGCAAATTAGGAATTGGTATGGACGGTGCCCTGTGGAGTGATTCCTTTCCGTTCAACGATTGAAGAGCAATGCCTTCGCAAGTTCAATTTTTTTTCGCCTGCGGGAAACAATGGGCGACAGTCGGAGCTTGTGCAACATCGATTTTGCAGCTGATATATGAATTTCCGGACATTGCTTTCTGCAGATAAGTATCTCTTCCATTTGAAGTGTGCAATTATGAATTTGGGACAAGATAAAATCTCTGAAAACGAACCCACGATTCCAGTATGGCTAGATTGCGATCCAGGTGAGTGAAGATCATTTGAACGATCCGTTTTGGCTATTTGTGTTAAGCAACCTGTAGGTCATGACGATGCCATGGCAATGATTTTGGCAGGTAAGATGTAACTTACTTGGATTGTCTGCGTAACTAACCAAAATGATGCAGCTTATCACCCAAAATTGAGATTGCTTGGTATTTCTACTGTAAATGTTACAATATAAAAAATCCTGTGCGTGCCATGTTTACTTAGACAGTTTCTAGTGTTACGGAAATCAGAGTCATGAAAAGACACTACGAAACGCCGTCTGTTTTGCCAAAGCAGCTGGAATTACGGTAGACATTGTTCCAGGGCAGAGCAAGGTATGTACAAACTGTAATCCATTTCTGCGGCAATAAGAAACTGAAAAAGCAACTGTTGGTATCTTTAAGCCTATTATGCGAGAGCCTATTGAAGCACCTAGTATTCACGGCGAGTCAGGCTTGGACGGAACATTTGCAATGCCAGCTTTTGACGAAAGCCTTATCCTCAAAGCCAATGCTGTTTTGCACCTGGCTGAACTATTGCGAAGCTCCAAAGAAAAGATCAATCTTGTGGCCACCGGACCCTTGACAAATTACGCGCTGTTGATTACGCTGTTTCCCGAATTGAAGGAAAAGATCGAAAAATTGTTATTTATGGGAGGTGCTGTCGGAGAGGGCAACTGGACTCCAGCCGCTGAATATAATATACTAGCCGACCCTGAAGCAGCTAATATTGTCATGCACTCAGGTCTGGACGTTTATATGGTGCCACTTGAGGTCACACACATGGCTGGGGTGACTGAAAAAGCTCTTGCCGACCTAAGTGTTGCTTGCAATGACAGCGAATTCTCTCGCCTCATTGTGGAGCTGATGTGTTTCTTTAAACAGACCTATAAGGATGTTTTTGGTTTTGATTGTCCTCCACTTCATGATCCTTGCGCCGTGGCTGCTTTGTGCTGTCCTAACCTCTTCAAATTCACACGTATGGGAGTGGACGTTATCACTGACAACGGTGCTACTCTGGGACAAACTGTAAGCCAGCTTTTTATTGCAGAAAAATTACCAGATGAAGTGTACTAATGCTACTCGACCCGATGTCATATATAGCTTTGTGACACTTACAACCGTTTCCCGTTTCCCAAAGTCAATGTAGCTACGAACATTGATGCAGAGGAGTTCATGAAGATTATGATGGATATGTGCGCTCTTGCGAATGAACGCTCACCGATGAATGCTAAATAGTAATAGAAGAACTCCTGTATTTATAAATTCACTAGAATCAACAGTTCCGTAAATAAAGAACAACGAATTTTTCCCCGATATGAGGCTCCCAACGACACCATCCTTAAAAAAGCATGGCTGTTGCAGCACACGTCAAGGAATAATAACCGCTCCAAATATTGGCGCCAATATTTGCTAGTACAAACAAACGGCGGAAAAGTCAACAAACAAACCGCTGAATGGGAAGTTGGACAAAGGCAACAGCTCGGTGTTCCCAGAGTCGGAATTTAAATTTGTGTAATTGCAAAGATGCCTTGGCCGCTCAGCTTGCCACGTCTTTTTCCCTTCTTTCACCAATTTCCAATGGCGCAATTCCGAATCTCCACTTTTTTGATCACGCTGTTGGTCGTGCTTTCCACATTTACCTTTGTTTCTGCAAAGAAGGGTCCTTTGGTTACCAACAAAGGTAAATAAATCTGCCGAAGCTTCCGTTGTACGTCTTGCTAATGGAACTATAGTTTATTTTGATATCAAGCAAGGTGATAAAGACTTGGGTCGCATCGTCATCGGATTGTATGGCAAGGTGAGTAATAGGAAGGAGGCAAATGGTATGGCGGGCTGTTATTAATGTTGACCATGGATAGACTGTTCCCAAGACCGTCGAGAACTTCAGAGCTTTAGCCACTGGTGAAAAGGGTTTCGGATATGAAGGCTCGACCTTCCACCGTGTTATCAAGAACTTCATGATTCAAGGCGGTGACTTTACCAAAGGTGATGGTACTGGTGGCAAATCTATTTATGATGGTAAGTTAAGACCAAGCCATCGAATCAACATTGCGGTTTACTAAAATGATCATCATATCTGCTAGGCGAAAAGTTCGAGGACGAAAACTTCAAGCTGACTCATACCGGTCCTGTAAGTTGTTCCCCATTTCTAATCTTGAATGGTTTTCTCACCAGCTATCATTAGGGTGTTTTGTCCATGGCCAATGCTGGTAAGAACACCAACGGATCGCAATTTTTCATCACTACAGTCAAGACCTCGTGGTTGGATGGCAAACATGTCGTCTTTGGCAAGGTTTTGGAAGGCATGGATGTTGTGACCAAGATTGAGAAAACCGCTACTGGGTAAGTACAATATCAACGCCCTCTAAAAGTCTTGCTATTAATTTTGCCACATTACACAGTTTCCGTGACAAGCCTAAGGTGGATGTTATAATCGCTAAAAGTGGCGAGCTTCCTGTCGAAGACATCGAACATGTTGAGCTGTGACTTGACTGGGTCGAGACACTAGAAACAAGAGTCGACGTTTATTCTAACTAAAATAGAAAAATAAAATGCGTCGAAAGCATCGATGGTTTCTTTCCAAAATGTCCTCACTTCTTTACAATTCTGAATGTTGGTCAATGCATATTCTCATGCATCTATGGATGGTTTCTCATATTCAATATAAATCAATTTTTAAATATTCCGTAAGCCGTAACACAGGTTGAGCATGGTTGCTTTACGTGCGCATAATAGGAAACATTCATCTTAGGATGTCATACAATATCAAAGCAAAAAAGACATGTGATCTGTGAGGTTGCATCAATTTTATTGTTCGAGACATAAAATGATGGTTTCCATGTAGCATTCAAAAATTAGAATGATGCTCCAGGCGCTTAAGCGACCATAGCGGAAGCAGTGGCGGACTCGTACTTCCAGTTGGGGGGCAACTGACCGGAGGTCTTGTAGTAGCGAGCAAGACGGTGGATACGAGATTCGATAAGAATCAAGCGGTACTTGGAGTCCTTATCCTTGCGGTTGCGTTCCAAATGCTTACGGATGGAGACAGCCTTCTTGATCAAATGGTAGAGATCCTCGGGAACTTCGGGAGCGAGACCGTTGGACTTGAGGATACGGAGGATCTTGTTACCAGTGACGCTGCGAACCTGGGGGATACCGTGGGAGTCACGGAGAATGACACCGATCTGAGCAGGGGACATACCCTTCTTGGCGCTCTTGCAGATGATGTCGACAACCTCTTCGGTGGTGGTCTTAACCCACGAAGGGGGAGTGCGGCGGTAGGGGAGGGCACTACCAGAGATACCCTTACCAGGAGTGTGCTAGAGAAAAGTCAAAAACGCAATGAGCAACAAATCAAACGCTGATTAAACAACTAATGAACACACCATGCGACCCATATTGAACTATGATTTGATTAGATGCAGAAGAGAGAATCTTCCACCGTCAGATTAAAAAAACAATTTTCTGGCAACCGAGCAAAGCCACCCGCGCCATTTGAAGGTGAATCCATATTTGGTAACTCCGAAAGCAGATACTGTTGACCCATGAGAACCTTTGAAAGCGCCTCAACCATGCAAAGAGCAGCAAGTGCTGCTGAGATAAATGTACCAATTGGTAAATAATATATTGATGGTGGCAGGAGGCTTTTTAGTAGGGTGAGGCATGTTTTGTCAAGTAGAAGCAGATCATTTGCAGGACAAAAAAATAAAATAAAAAAAAATGAAGTGTGAAATCGATACTCCGCATTGGCCGATTGCCCAAAGGACCGGAAGTCCCAAAAGGAAACTCTTGGACAGCGATCTGCATGCGTCAATCAAGATTCTTTCTTGATTTCCAGTTTTGTAGGTTCTATTCGTCTCGGTTTAAAGTGTCGGCCCTGCGAACGTATAAACGACCCCGAATGGCAGATGCAACCACGCATTCGTCGGCCTCTCAGCGCCAACAAAATGCCCAGAAAAGCTACGGAGTCGCGAAGAACGGCGTCGAGATGAAAATTGTTCTCACAAAAAAGGAAAGCAAACTCTGCGATTTGTTGCATAATGTCTCGGACTATCTTGCGAAAGAACGTCCAGATTTACCTCGTATTGAGCCGCGCATCGCAGGCGGTTGGGTACGCGACAAGGTAACGCATATGATTTCGATGGTGTTACGAGTCAGACGCTTATTTACGAGACTTGTATAGCTCTTGGGGAAAGAGTGCCACGATCTAGACATCGCAGTAAACGATATTATGGGTTACGAATTTGCGCAAACAGTCAATACATATCTCGAATTGAATGGATATCCGACCCACTACATCGCCAAAATTAACAGTAACCCAGCAAAATCAAAGCACTTGGAAACTGCCACAACCAAATTGTATGGTCAAGAAATCGATTTCTGTAATTTGCGAACAGAAGTATACAGCGAAAACAGCAGGATACCAACAGAAATCGTAAGTATCGGTTCTGCAGAAACAATAGATCATTGTGCGATATCATAACAACCTTTTTCATAGAAATTCGGAACGCCTTCTGAAGATGCTTATCGCCGAGATATTACCATTAACAGCTTATTCTATAATGTATGCGAAAAATTAGTAGAAGATTTTACACAACAGGTTTGTCAATCAAAGTTTGATCTTCCAATGATATATACAGGCACATTAACATATACTGCATAGGGCCTTCCTGATTTGACCAACGGCCTCATTCGAACCCCGTTGGCACCCTATGAAACATTCCGCGATGATCCATTACGTGTATTACGTTGTATTCGTTTCGCAAGTCGTTTCGGATTCGGTATTGTGCCTGAACTTGGGGAAGCTGCCAAAAATCCTGATATCAAAGACGCTTTGAGCACCAAAATCAGTAAAGAGAGAATCGGCATCGAACTGGATAAAATGCTCAGTGGACCGTCGCCTCTTCATTCCTTGAAACTGCTATACAGCCTCGATCTATATCCCGTAGTTTTCGCCCCACCTGCAAATATTGTGTCAGGATCAGTCAAGGATTCTTCTATGAGTGTGAGGGCTGCAGGTATCATCCAATGGTATGGTATCTCACGAATTCTTTTCATTTTATACCTGTGTCCAGTGGCGATATCTAACCGCTTTGCTTTAGGTTAACCTCGAAGAAAGAGTCACAATTATATCCGAAATCACTCGATGAACAAAGGCTACTTTATCTTGGAGCGACTGTATTACCCTTTTCGGATCTAGTGGTCGAAAAGAAGAAGCGACCAATTCCGGCAATTCAAATAGTTTTGCGAGATTCTATTAGGGTAAGAGAACATTATCTACTGGTCGGCTCACAACAATTGGACTCACATATTTTCTCAACAGTCATCAAATGTTGATATCAATGCCATTACCACGCTATTCCAAGGTATCCCTCAATTCAGGGATGCTGCTCAACGACATCAGCAAGAGTGTATTTCGCGCTCCGATCTCGGTAAAGTCTCCCATACTTTAATGGCTTATAGACTGTGATAAATTGACAGAATGAATAGGAATGATCATTAGACGTATAGGCTCACTGTGGCCAACAGCGGTGAAGATGGCGCTTACACAAGATTTATTGGATAATGCTGCGGATATCTCATGGGAACAGCCAGAGTCTCTTCCAGGTAATCAATCAAGCATCAACATTTTTATTCGCATTTATATCCTCATTCGGTTACTTCTCAGCAAATTCCGCGCAAGACATTTGTCAAAAATATGAGGCCCTAACAAAACAAGCAGAAGCATACGGTATTCAGGATTGTTACGACTGGAAACATATAGTAGATGTTAGTACAACTGCTGATCCCGTCTTTGATTTGAACGGTGATAACTGAATTTTGTCATTAGGGTAATGCTACCGCAGCGTTGTTGGGTATTCGGCCAGGACCTGTTGTTGCTGAGCTACTCCAAGTCATGATGCGCTGGCAGCTCCAGCATCCCGAAGGCACACCTGATCAATGCGCTGATATGATCAAACAGTATTGGCAAGAACATCATGCGAATTAGCTAGTGAGCATAGATTGGAAATAACAAATAGGAAGCTCGAGTACTCGAAATAAAGTTACTGTATTCGAACAATGCAAATGATAAACGAATGAGAATAGAATAGATGAATGAGTTGATATGCTGCTGTATGAATTGGTGTGAAATGATGATGGAAATGACGATGAGAAGAAAAGATGTCGTTTCATAAATATGGTTTAACCCCTTAACCGTCTGTTGTGTTCTCTTTGTTGCTGCAGCACATGGTTTCTGATATCGTAGATGGTTTTTTGGTCCAGGTCTTCTTCAATTTGTTGGATATTTGTATCGGTTACCATGTCGCCAGTTGAAACTTCCACGATGTTGTTGTTATCTTCCAGTAATCTTCTCATGACCGGATCTGTGATTTCAAAGTCGATCTCTCCGATTTTTGAGACGGGGTCTGCGATAGGTAAGTGGTAGTATTTTGTCATTTCATTACGCAATTGAGGTGTTGTCAAACGATTATCAATGACACGACTATGCAAGTTGTGGGAGACGGTCAATACCGCGGCAAGAATACCGAGTGAATACACGCTTACCTTGATATACCTCGTTTGTGCACATTTTTTGTTTGGATCGTCTGCTCGATGGAAGAATACGTCGTCAAGCGATAGATGTAAACGTATTTCTTTTGACCATATCGATAGACACGCCCTATACTTTGCTCATCATAGCATGGATTCCAATCGAGATCAAACAATACTAGCCGGTTGGCGCCTGTGATATTGACGCCAATACCTCCAGCCTATGATATTGGTTAATCTCGTGCTCACACATGGCGCCAATGTCTTCCAACTTACTCTAGCGGACAATAGCATGACATGCTTTCCTCCTGCCGGGCCATTAAAATGATCAATGATAGTTTGTCTTTCCTATTGAGACGAGAACAAGGGTAAAAGAAGGTTTAAGTACGCGAATGATTTGGTGCAGATATTCAATTCTCGAACCTCCTGTGGAGTGGTGCCGTCGATGCGTGACACCGAATAACTCAACGTGGCTAATAGCGGTTGAAGGTAGTCTATCCAGTTCAAATTAGCAGATTAATAAGCTGCATTGCATTACAGTCGAGTTGGCGTACCTAAGCATATAATACTGTGAGACACAACAACGACCTTATCGCCTAATTCGCGACTAGCGTGGAGGATCTCAAGTAAAACAAGTACTTTTCTAGAATGCTTCCAGTTTTCCACATCTATATGATATTCAAGTCAGTCATTCAATTTCCATTCCGGAGGTGCCCGCAGGTATAAATTACCAGATATAGTTTCGAAAAACTTGAAAGCCCACTCCAGGTTACATTTTTTGACCAGGATTTCAAGCGCTTTCAGCTCGTTTTCGTCCACCACCTCGGTAGGGTTATAATCAAAGTCATCATGTGGCCGGTTGGGGGCACTCTCGGTATTTATTTGCTGTGTAGGTTCTGCGATGGCATCCAGCTGTGTTTGAAGCATAAGTTGACGTCTTCGTAGCATCTGTATAAGCAAACAACATTTAATTTCAGAATCGACTCCAAGGGTAGAAACTCGAACTTTATAGACAAACCTTTTCAAAGACTGCTGGGTGATTGCAAATTGCTCGAAAGAGGATGATATCAATCAGGGGCCTCTGACTATTCAACACGGACTCTAGGAATCGCTGATACAGATCAAACTGTATACTTGTCAATCGACATGCTATGTAATACTCGGTTTTGCCAGGAAGCTCCTGGTTCAAAATCGTGTTATTTTTTCTGTGATAAACGGTCAGTTTCGATTGTGCCTATCATAAAGCGACGTAGGAAGACAGTACTTACCGGTCAACAAAGAAGCTTGCCATAAGTTGTAGCTCCAGCAGACGTGCTTTGGCCAGCATGCGGACAGATTGTGGCGACTCGGCATATACGTTTTCAATGGGACTTTGGAAGTTTCGTCGGAAGCTTTCCATGTCGCCCAAAGCACCAGGAGACACAAAATTAATCATGTAATAGTATTCCGCCAGGTTATTCTGGAGAGGATATCCAGTCATACTGACACGAGCATAAGTGGCAATGCTGTTCACCAGATTCGTAATCTGCGAGTCTTTGCTTTTGATACGATGCCCTTCGTCAAGGATAATCATGCTTGGGCCAGGATTCAGAAGCATCGTCCGTAGCTGGTCTCGATAATTGATGTAAGCTGGTGATACCAGTAAAGTACGGAAACGGTCATAGTTCATTAACAGTACGCCACCCTCGTTGAACCAGTTTTTCAAATAATGTATCTGCGCTGATATTGATCCTCTAGCTTCGGTACTAACATCTGTAAAGTCGACTAATATTTAGCCGGCTGCGATCAAGTAAAACTGCATTCCTTAAGCTTACCACAGAAGTTGTAAATGTGTCCAACCGTGGATTCCAGATCTGACGGCACCCATCGATAGAACTCTGTCACCCAATTCGTCAAAGTGATCAACGGAGCGAGAATGAGAATCCGATTTGACTATAGTTTTTGCACTTGTTAGATGAGTTGAAATGCGGCTCTAATGGGTACAATCTAAACGAACCCTTAAGCGTTCAGGAATACTGGGATTTTCATTCTTGATCTCTTGAAGGTAAGTTGTGACAAAGGTAATTGCCTGCAATGTTTTACCTATAAAAACGTTAAATATACGGTCTACGAGTCTGTTTCGTCAGAAGCGTACCGAGTCCCATCGAATGAGCAAGCACAGCTCCGTCGCGTTTGCGAATAAGCCGCTTCCAGAGAAACCGCACACCTTCCAGCTGTGATCTACAATCAGTTTCAAAATCCCATCGAGTTACCTACTCTGTTGCTCACCTGATGCGGTTTCATCTTCTTGACCAACTGAGGATGAATATAGGCGATACGTTCAGGCAAAAGTTCATATAGATTGATCGGGCAGGGATCAGGTTCATTTTCTGGTTCGGGTTGCGGCTTCGATGCCATGTCACTCAATCGCAATTTTGGAGATAATAACTCTACCGCCTCGTCCTCATCCTTTACAGAACGTTTCCTGTAGATGACATGAGTTTAACCGCTCTACATATCGATGTAACGTTATTACCTTTTATTCTCGTGACTTTCGGGCGATGGAACTGGTGCATCATTTATGGTCGGTAGACGTTGTGTGGCGGCAGTGGGTTTCAGAGATGTGGGCCAAGGTACAGAGATTTCGATCAACCCTCTTTGATCGGAGGGATTCTCATCGTCGTATAAGAGCAGGGGTCGACGGCGTTTAGTACCACGAGTGTCCAACCGATATCGATAATTGTCAAATGATAAATAGTTTAAAGGCGATTCCGCGTGCAACTCGTCGAACTCTAAATAATCCTTGGCCGCCTCGGATTCCCTCTTGTCGATAGGTGGACTATGGATTTTCGTTATGGTAACATTCTCGTCTGTGAATGCAGGTAGGTTTGCGTTGGTCGCGATAACTGGCGTAGTAAAGTCTATATCTTCGACTTGAAGGGTATCATCCACAATCTCCTGCACGTTCCTTTCCTCAATTTCGTCATCAATCCAGATCGCCGAAGATTCATTTACCCCTGCGTCTTGCCTGTGCACTTTTTCGCTTTCCCGTTTCACCATCTGGGCTTTTGTTGAGGCATCACTTTCTGTTGCTTCTTTAGCGGGAATCCGAGAGCTATTGTCGTGCAGAACTGGTGGTCGTGATGGGGGTGGCTCAATTGGTTTTCCAATCTTTCTTTTTCGGAACTCGCCTTGCACCGTCTGGACTTTCGAGGTCGTGCTACTTTCTGTTGCCGCTTCTTTAGCTTGAATCCGAGAGCTAGTGTCGTGCAGCACTGGCTGTCGTGATGGGGGTGGCTCAATTGGTTTTCCAATCTTTCTTTTCCGGAACTCGCCTTCCACCGTCTGAATATTCAGCACCGCATCAGGTTTTATCACCGGTTCTTTGGAGGGTGTCGAAGAAGTAGTGAGGTGGGAGGTTGACGATTGTAAAGGAGGGGGTTCAATTGGTTTTCCCAATTTCCCTTTTCGGAACTCGCCTTCCACCATCTGGATATGCAGCATCGCATCAGGTTTTGTCACTGGTTCTTTGGAGGGTGTCGAAGAAGTAGGGAGGTGGGAGGTTGACGATTGTAGAGGAGGTGGGTCAATTGGTCTTCCCAACTTCCCTTTTCGGAACTCGGTCGTTGCTAATGTATTGTTATCTGTAACAGGAAGCGAGAGCTGGTGTGCGGCTCTGCTGGTTTCGACATTGAACACAGGCTTTTTACTAGAATCCGAGGCTGGTGCTGGGCTGATGACGTTGTGTGAAGCTACGTCGTTCACCAAAGACAGCTTCGAGGTATATGTTGGTGATTTGCTGCCGTCGTTTGCATGCGATCTTGATGGTGAATTGGATCGATTCTTGCCTCTTGATTCGTAGGGATGAGGATTCGAAAAAGGAGTGATATACTCTGTAACTGTCGGCCTGCTGACATTTTTTGAAGATCGAGCGTGCGGATGGTCCACCGTCTTTCTCGTTTCAGCGTGAGATGAAGATCGTTTGGACAGTTTTTTTGAAGTAGAAGAGGATGCACTGGATGATGTATGGGTACTTTTTTTACTTGTTTCCACACGAGGCGAAGAAGATTCCGCATGAGATGAAGGTCGTTTAGACAGTTTTTTTGAAGTAGAAGATGATGTACTGGATGACGCATGGGTACTTTTTGTACTTGTTTCCGTATGATGATGCGAAGAAGTTTCAGCCGATGCCGTAGAATGGTGTCTCCTGGATGGCGGATCAGTTTTCTTTTCTGTTCTATCGTGAGAAAACGATTCCATTGCTGACGGTTTTACGGAAGACGAGGGATTACTGGGAGCTGGATGTGTACTTTTGTGTGGCGTAATATTTTCGGTGTTGACAGCTGCGGTAGCGTCATTATCCGGCCACTTGTCCTTTAATCTTCTTAACCTAGTCCGTATCCGCTTTCGAAGAGCCTTGTCCTTAATATTGAGCGTAAGAGACAACCACGGAGGGTTATGTAGCACGTTATGTACAAGAGTCTTCCCATCGATATGATGATCTATTGTGTGCAATCACTTTTTAGCCATCTCCATATGTCGTAACTACTGTAATTATACCTCGAATTAGGCGGGCAATATTATCGCTGAAGGTTTTCTGTGCCCAATCGCAGACTTGGTCCACTGACCAAGTTCTTGGATCTGTCATACGGAAAGCATGCGTTGATGGAGCCCTTCTTTCAGGCATGGCAAGTCTTACGAAGTAAGTGACTGCTATTTTTGAGCTTTCATTATGCGGAAATATTTAGGTGCCGATCCATGGTGCATGCAAGAAAGCCAATTTCGTTGCAAGGTTTGCACAAATAGAGCCGGTAGCCTGTTAGCCTCTTACAATTACCCAGAGAAGCATCCGAAGATTAGCTATCCTACCTTTCTGGAATGACAAATAGATAGTTGCTCGTTGACGAGAATAACTTAACAAACACGCTCCGAACATATTTCAGAAGTGTCCAAAAAAAAAAACGAGGCTGTTGATATTATCAAGCTGCCTGGTGGCAACCTACCTTTTACGCAATCATTTTGTTGCCCGGTCGAATCCTTTTTGTGTGGCACAAAGGGTTTGGGAATGACTTGATCGCAGCTAGTTACATAGTTGGCATTTTGAACCGGGTTCCTATAGTTGTAATTGCTCATAATAAATTCTTTTTACGTGTTGTACCGGTTCTTTCATTTTCATCGCATGATGTATTATTTGGAAACGTCTTGTTCATGGTTGTGCAGTTCTTTTTCCCAGTCGAGAAATTGAACCCCAGGTTTTCGAACAATCCGTATCGGAGTATGAAACGTTCCATTTTTGACGTAACCTTCGGTCACGACATTTTTTTTATATTTTTGCTGCAGTTCCCAGTTTCCCCGAGAACGAACAACTTACAATGTCGCGACATCGCAACGTTCGAAACCTAGATATCGATGGTAAACGGGTCAAGCATCAAAGTAAATATATAATACTCACCCTAAAATATATAGAGGTTCTCGATGAGGATGAATTCGTGGACGATTACGATGAGAACGAGCGTAGGTGGAAACAGCCTGTGCTTGCATGACCTAAAATCTGATCAAAAACTTGCAGTTGACGAGACCCAGTTATCCAACGAGGACCTCGATAATTTAGAGGAAGGATTATCCTATATTTACAGTGTGGTGGGCGAAAACGTACCTGTATCCGCCACAGAGATAAAAGAAGCACTGTGGTATTATTATTTCGACAGAGAAGAAACCGTGAATTGGGTGCTCGGTAATGGCAAACCCTCCACGTAATAGAAACAAAAAAAGCTCACGTTCTCTATAGAGAAAATTGCTAAATATGAAGCAGAAGAGAAGAAGCAAAAAGCAAAACAAGCCAAGAAAAACGCTGCACAAGGTAACTATGGTTTTTCATTGTTTGAGTCAATGTTGTCCCGTTGCCCAAAGCCTGTCAATAGGATCAGTTTTGCAATTTTGCTAGTTTTCTCTTTTCTTATTGAGATGAGTCGATCTGCTTCTTCTCCATATTGCTTAAATCTTTTATGTTTTACTTTTGTTCATACACTTGTAATGGCAATTTCGCGGGAGAAATGCAATGGGGCGCGTTACAAAAGGTAAGTGAAAGCTCTGTTTGTTTATTAATGAAATGTATTAACAGGTAGTATTAGTTAATGCTACGCTCAAGCTGATCCTATTATCCAGATACAGAAAAACCAGCGGAACGACAGCCGAAATATCGACGACCGCCGTTGCCGATGTATAGCGAAGATGATCGTGAAGATAAACCCGCTCAGTCGAAACCAGCAGTCGCCCAGAAGTCATCTTTCCTCAATATGGCTAATAAGCGATCTCCAGGCGACTCATCTAGCCTGTCACAACTTCGACAACGGATGGCATCCACACAAGCACACCAGGCTGCAAGCCCATCCACTCCAAGCGGAAAATCCTCACTTGCCTCTTTGGCTCGCAAACCAAACGAGGTCTCAAACAACAATACGCCATCCGCCTCTCCAGACAGACGAACTTTCTCAAGCTTAAGCGCATTGGCAGCCAAAAGTACCGACAAGCGCAGCATGCAATCTTCCGCAAATCAAAAAGATGCGGCGAATGTCAAGCCAAACTCTTCCTTGTTATCTCTTGCACAAAAATCATCCGGACCAAGAGGCGTGTCCGCTCTACAGAGCTTAGCATCACGACAAAGCAATCAACCAAAGAACGAAGGAAAAGAAAAATCCACATCAACAGGAGGGTCCGTCTTGGCAGGACTAGCACATCGTTCAAAGGCAACATCGGGTCATTCGAGTTTAGCTGCTTTAGCATCGCGATCGCGGCAGAGCAAAGAAGATGGGTCACCGCCAGCTAAATCAATGACGAACGCTGCAGTGCAAGATCGAATTACTGACGAGTCCGGCCACTCTGCCAATGCGCGAAATGCTGACGTTTCCGATGGTTTATCCTCGCAACCAAAGCAACCTCGTCACGAAGCATGCTTAACTGAGAAACCAGTTACCACGACAGTATCTGCTGATGACGAAATAACGTTTATTCCTCCAAAGCGAGTCTCTTCCAACGCACTATGCGCTCCTCCTTCCGCAGCCGCTTCTTTCTTGTTTATGAAACCGGAACCCTCCGCTCATTCAGTGCGTTACGCAGAGCAGTTGGCATCATCGTTACCAACATCGCTTTCTCAAGCTTTTTATGAAGCAATGCAATCCTCCGCACATAATGTAAAGCTGTTTCCATTCGATGTGCCGAGTCCGGACGATATCGTGCTGAAAGCTCAGAGTCAACGTGGCGGAGGCAGTGCAAAGTCGAAATCATCTTCTTGAAGAAATCATGCCCATTTTCCTCCACTTTCTTTTTGGCCTTACGACGATATACCATGCAAATTCTATTCTCTACTTCCTTTTTATTTGCTCTCGCTTACCTTTCCCTATAATCTTTTCAAAATCTAATCCTGTTTCCAGGCTGGGCAGCAATACAAAATAATGAAGGCACTCTCTAACTAATCATGATCTCTATTTATTGATTTATTTCTACTGTCGCAGCTCATCCCGCAGAGACTGATAAGAAAAAGGCCACCAAGTCAACGTCAAGGGCACCTGCCAAGGTGAATGATACGGATTCATCGCGGGATCAACTGTCAGAGGACATGCAAGCTCTTGGGCTAGGATCGGCCAAATCAACAAAGACGGAAACTGTGGCCAATGGAGCATCTCCATCAGATCAAGCAGCGCCATCTGTCATACAAAAACCCGTAGAACCTTTGGCCAAAATCCCTGCATCGAAACGCATCAATGTTTTAGAAGAATATGCCAAGCGATCCATGGGCAAACCTTTGACAACAATTTGCATCATTGGTATACCGAATTTGATTACAGTGCATGTAGTAGTCTTGATTACTGATATGCTCAACCATGGTAATATAGGTCATGTCGATTCTGGAAAATCCACCATAGTAGGACATCTCATGTATCAACTTGGAGAAATCAACCATCGAACAATGCACAAATATGAACGTGATTCTCAGAAAATTGGCAAAGGATCGTTTGCATTTGCTTGGGTTATGGATGAAACCGAGGAAGAAAGAGCGCGGTAAGTCGTACTTGGGCGTTGCGGTGGAGGCTACTGATGAGCTAATGGACAGCGGATGTATGGTAGTGGAATTACGATGGACATTGCGACGAACGGTTTTGAAACAGAGCATCACAAGTTTACGGTCTTGGATGCTCCCGGTCATCGCGATTTTATCCCCAATATGATCTCGGGAACGGCACAAGCTGACGCTGCAGTTCTAGTTGCAGATGCAACCACAGGAAGTTTCGAAGCTGGGTTCGATGCTCACGGTCAGACAAAAGAACACGCCTTGTTAGCAAGAAGTTTAGGTGTTCAACAGCTGGTCATCGCGGTGAATAAGCTGGATGCGGTAATTTTGGCCGATTCACCATATCAGCCGTTATAGAACATCTTAACTGACCATCTCTGTGTAGATGAACTGGGATCAAGCTCGATTCGAAGAGATTGTTCAGAGGCTCACTGCTTTCCTGGTACAAGCCGGTTTCCGGAAAAACAAACTGACCTTTGTCCCTGTTTCTGGTTTGACAGGCGAAAACTTGACCTCGCGAAGCACTATGGCCGAGCTCACGGCATGGTACAAAGGCCCTAGTTTATTAGAGGCTATCGGTATGTCCTCCTTCTTTTTTCCGTTTACTTTGCCTATCGCATCGTATCATCCTTAACGCTATATTTTGTCTTTAGATGCTTTTGAGACGCCTACACGACTTGTAGACAGACCTTTCCGTATGGGCGTCACCGACTTTTTCAAAGGCGGTATTGGAAGCAGTGGCGGCGTCTCTGTAGCAGGATCGATAGATTCGGGCCATCTTCAAGTGGGAGAACAAGTGATGGTGGTTCCCGGAAATGAAATTGGTGCTGTAAAAGGTGACACTTTGAATGCCAGGAATTTATCAACGTTATGCTAAAAAAAATTCTGCTAGCCATGCAAGTCAATGATGAAGTAGTCAATTGGGGTGTAGCAGGGGATTCCATCCTCATGACCTTAAGTAACCTGGATATTCTTAATCTGAGGTACGGATTATTTACCATGACTATCAATTTCAAATCGCCCATCTCAACGTTTTACCATAGCAACGGCTGCGTTCTGTGTTCGCCTCAGCATCCTGTGCCAGTGACAAGTTCATTTATTGCACAAATTGTCGTGTTTGACATAAAAGTGCCTATTACTTCCGGATTCTCAGTAAGTAATACTCGGACATGATTCTTAAAAAAAGGCTTGCTAAGTGATTAAAACTTTACAGGTGGTGCTCCACCATCAAAGCGCCGATGAGCCGGCAATTATTTCGAAGCTGCTCATGACCTTGGACAAGTCAACGGGCGAGATGATCAAAAAGAATCCACGACATTTGTCTAAAGGTGCCACCGCGAAAGTGAGAATTAACATGCCATTACGGCCGATTCCTTTGGAGACCTTCAAAGACAACAAAAATCTTGGCCGTGTCATGCTCCGACGAGAAGGAGAAACAGTAGCAGCAGGCATTGTGACAGAGGTAACTTGATACTCCCTTCTGTGTGTTTTTTGATGATGACGACTCACATCTTCTCGATTAGATTTTGAGTTTTGGCTCATAAATGTCACGGTATTTATAGAGGTTTATTCTGATAGTATATTCTAGACGTACTCTTTTAGCTTTGCAAATATTTTATCATAACCATAAAAGAAGTATACATGCGTTCCTAATGCGAATGCGCTTCAATTTTTTATAACACGAAGAACGGATTTCATCAATGACTGATGTTCACTGATGTGATCGGCAGGCGTGACGGTAAACGCCTCAGCTAAGCGTTCCAATTGATCAAACATGTCGTCGCTTTCAGTCGACAGTGGTATGGGCGTTTGATTCGTCAAACATTCAGAGAGAAACATAGCTGTAGGCAATTCAATAGTCAGAAAAAAAAAACAATAAATCGGAAACATACCTCTTCTGATGAGGTGGAGAGGCATATTGGCAGCATTGGCTTGGCATATCCCAAATGAGGCACTCAAATCCGTAGCGGGAACAACACGATAAAGAAAAATCACTTCTTGCTGCTCGTTTTCGATCACTTCAACTTCGCTGCGTGAAATACCCTGCAAGCTTTGCTCCATCTGAACGAACATTATCTCCGTTGTGTAAAGGCTGATAAAGTGATTTTGGGTAAGAGTACGACTAGCGATTATATCTTTTTGGAACGTTAGTACTGTTAAGAGATGTTATTTGCCATGTTTACTTGCCATGAAAATGCGTGCTTGCGATGATTTTTGGGCATTTTTCTTTCCTGGATAGAAAATGATTCAACACTGCATAAAACAATCCAGCGCCATCGGCGGCATTGGTTCCCTAAATTTTTTTTTTAAAAAAAAGTACTCAATAACGCACAGGACAACATAGCATTAGAGTTGCAATCACTTACTTTTCCAAATTCATCCATAATAAGAAAGCTTCGATCGGTGGCGTAGTCAATCGCCTGTAGTACTTGTTGAAGATCGATCGTAAATGCGCTTTGCATCTTTTGCGGTGGTTAGTTTACGGTGGGAACTCGATTTACATTGCTAAACTATACCTTTGCACTTGTCTCTGAAGTTCGCAACCTTGTGAAAATCTTATCAGTCAGCCCAATCGAAGCATGATCGGCCGGAACAAAGCTTGGATCCGCAAAAAGAACAAACTGAGCCATCCGAGCTATCATCTATTCCCTATTTTGTATAATTACCTGCCAATATGCGCCATATAGATGATTAAAGCGACCTGTATGATTTTTGAATTAGATGCTCCAATGAAATTGACGAGGGTGTACTTACTTGAGTTAAATAGACACTTTTACCAGAGCCATTAGCTCCGCTTAACAGCATGACGCTGCGTGCTTCTTGCAAATCCTGCGCATCACCGTCCGGAGGACACATCATATTCTTGAACGAATCGCATTCAATCTTTCTCTCGGCTCTGTCTCCGATTCCACCAACGAGATATGTATCGTTGGGAATAAAGGATTCTGTCACTAGCTCGCACATGGGATGTCTACGAGATAGTCAGCCAATATTAAATATGAAACGTGATTTATGAGGGGCACGCTACAACCTTCCGCCTAAAATATGAAGAACACTGGTATTCGTGATCTCAGGCTTGACGTACTTATTCTGCTTCGCCACCACTGCTAGAGCGTTGTAACTGAAGCAAAGGTTTTCAGCGTATTGCTACATTGTGTATCTGCAACTTACCAATCGATTTCTGCAAGTAAAGTGGCCAAATCCATTAATAGCGTTGAGTGGACACACCATTTTTCAGCCAAATCATGAAGTAATTTCACTTCACGATCTACACCACATGCGTGAGAATCACTCGTTAGCCAGACATCCGCTGCGATACACTACCAATAATTAAGCTGTGAATATCACCAAGCCGCTCGTCGAGCTCTAGTGTTCATGCTTAGTATACGCATGCAGAAGCAGATCAATATGTAGGGGACTCACCGCGCATATGGTCGCTTTTATAGTAGGCGTTTTCACACGATGTGAACTGAATAAGGTGAATCAATCGTTCATTGTGTGATGTAACCAGCCATGTCTACCTGTAACGTGAAATCAGGGAATTGCTCTGGCACAATATGAACGGAAGCAATGGCAACCGGCCATGTCAGCAGGTATCCCAGCTGGGGAAAATAAACGACGTTGACGGTGGAGCCAAGAGGATCAGCTAGCATATGACTGATTTCTTCGGCTTCTTGTGCCTATATATTTCATTAGTACTCAGGTGACCTTTCGAAAAATAGTGTTGAATAGCACTTACCAATATATCATCGAGTCCATCATATCGCTCGTGTAATGCATTCAGTTGCTAGGTCATATTGCGAGTCAATATACGATGTAAAATAACATATCCGTGCACGTTACATCATCTACTCGCTTGTTCAGTACGATGCGACCTTCGTTGTTGCTGAGCTCAAAGTTGATCTAGTTCTCGAATGAGGCTCCCATGTTATGAAGAATAAAAAAATATAAAGCTTTTACCATGCGATGTACAGCAATTCCGAGTTCTTTCAACAAATCAATGTCGGCATGCTGCTGAAACTGCAAGCATGTGAGAACGGTTTGTGGGCCAGACTTTATCGTGGATAATGGTACCTGGACGGCTATAGCTGGTAAATCGGCACCCGAAAATGCATTAAAAACGCCGTAGACTTGAATCATACAGTATGCACACTGAGCAGTATTTAATACAAATTCTCGTTATATGTGCTCTAATCAGTAATTTACCTGAAGTAGCTGCTTCCACTCATTAGCATTAGCTCGATTATTCTGCAGTTGATCCAGCAAAGTCGATATGTTTCTCAGCTGCTTCAAATATATTTGTAAGTGTTTTGACAGCTGTCTCTGTTCGTCATGCTTGAAGAATGCCACCGAACGATAACGCTCTTCAAGTATTTCTTTTTCGTACACAGGCTGGAGCACCCATTGTTTCATCTTATGACTTCCAGGTAAGCTGCTGGTTTTGTTCAGCACATCTATTGCAATAACCTGTTAATCAGAAGGTCCGCTTTGTCCGTGTTGAATTTCCTTACCAAATAATGTACTTTTCTTGTTGAACTTTTTTTCTTGCGCAGTCGTCGTACTATTTATATCAATTATATCCAGCGAGCTAGAATAAAATTAAGTGAAGGTGTACTAATCTTGTTACCGGTCTGTTTCTTTTCTTTACCTTATAGTGTCACCTACAGCTTGTAGATTTTTGTCGCTAAAGCAAGCATAGAATTATTCGTAAGCAGAATGGCATGGACAACAAAAAAAAAAAAAAAAAAAAAAAATTGAAGAGACAAATACATAGAAAAGGCTCGCAGCTGTAGTGGTTGTGTTCGTGAGCTGCTTGCTGAAAAATCCGCTTCGTTTGTATTGCTCCTCAGTCCTTGCAAGTAGCTGAAAATGGCACCAACACACCCGACCTATCTCTAATCAATAAAATGACCGATGCATATAGTACAGAGAATATACTCACTGTTGTGCTGCTATTGAAATCCACATGACAATTGAGGCGCAAATATGCTTGCATGCTTCTCGCACTGTCTGCTCCATCTGCACTAACTGTGCTTGGTAATGACTGGGTTGAACTCTCGAGGATATCTGATTGCTTCTGTCGGTCTATGGTTTCGAGGTACCAAGTGAGAAGGGAGTATCTTCCCTTATTATAAGCAAAATCCTTGTTTGGCATTTTCTCAATGATAATATCTGGAGCATGAAAAAATGATCAATTATTGTTCACATAAATGGTGCGGGTCGGCTGTGAAAAAATCATCGACCAAGAAGGCTTACCATGACCCGAAACAATGGCTTCGTAGTCAACGTTTCCCGTAGAGGATATAATCAGCAGTTGTGGACAAATTTGTTCCAATACTGACATATTTGGCTTAATTAGATAGCGTCAATATTAGTCTGATTAACCGTGCTACGTACGTTGATGGATGTAATCGGATGGGTCCCGTATGGTAATGTCTTGCATGATACGCAGTTCACGGGAACCTGCTTTGTAGTAAACTGAGCCCAAGGAACCACCTCGATAATTCATCGCCATTACGCACTCCTATATAGGATTATTACGTTAGAGTGTCGGTTGCCGTATTATTTGTGGTACAAGTCGGCCTTACGTGGTGTGGAGCAGAAGAACGTCCGTGTTCGGAAGAACGACTTGACTGTGAAGACAGCAGAACATCGTCTATATTTTCTAGAAGGGTTTGAGGAAATGCGCATATCAATTATGAGAAAGTACTTCTATTTACTTTCTTCCATGGTTGATGTTGCCAAATACGAAAGAGAACACAGACAATGCAAATCAATTCAGATCGAAATCACGAGTTGGGGCGGATTCGTGAAACTCGAATAGTTTACTAATTCAGCAACCGACTCTGTAATCATCCAATCAGTGCCATCCCCATCGGTGTGACGCACGTTGGGAATCAAACTTATGCTTGGCAGCTGCAGGATCAACTTCTGTTGAAACAGTTCTCTTTTAAGCTTAATTCATACCATGGATTACCCATCACGCTCTGGTCCTGATGGTCGTGGCCCACCTTCATACAATGCGTCACGCCGCTCATCCACAACCGAGCTTACCATGAAAGTCACAATGTGCTCTACCGATGCTTTCGCCCTTTCGAACTATGTATCTATTGCTCCCGGTCAAATTCAACCCAAAGATCACTATGTTATTGTGAACGATCAATTTGTGTTCTCTGTCAGGTTTGTACGAAAGGGATTGTTGTGATGGTAAGCACAAAGTAGCTAATGATATTCCTAGATCCGATAATACCATGCAAAAAGGGTTCCTGGCTACGAACAACATGCATCGTCGCTGGGCTCAGTTCTCGCTTAATCAAGAGGTGGTGGTAGCGCCTTACGATCCATTCTCCGAAGGCATGGATATCTATCTTGCTTCCCTGAAAGTGGAAGTCGGGTTCTTGCGCAAGAGCACTCAAATGACGGATGACTTTGATACCGAAGAAATGGCTAAAGCTTTCTCCCTGGTAAGTTTTCAGGAATCGGCCTTGGACTTTTCTGCGAATCTGACAGTGTTATACATAGACTTTCCATAACCAAATTTTCACCGTTGGTCAAATGCTTGTCTTTGAATATCAAGGCGTGAATTTAGCTTGCAAGATTGTCGAACTGGAAGTGGTAGAATTGGAAAAGTTAAAGAGCGGTCTCAAGGGTGAAATCGATTCTCGAGCAGAGAGCCATTCCAACGCGGAACGCGGTGTACTGATGAACCAGACTGTTGTTCATTTTGGTAAATCCGGTGATTCCACCATCCGTTTGAAAGGTGCCAAGAAAAGGTGAGTAACCACTTTAATGAATCCCATCAATGATGCATGTAAGCTCATACCGCTTCAAGTTCGCAAGCCAAAGCTTTGATTCGAGCCGATTTCAAGTTTGAGGATCTGGGTATTGGTGGTTTGGATGCGGAATTCAGCGCAATTTTCCGCCGTGCTTTTGCTTCACGTATTTTCCCACCGTCGATTGTCGAGAAGCTTGGTGTGCAGCACGTGAAAGGTCTCTTGTTGTATGGTCCTCCCGGTACCGGCAAAACATTGATGGCTCGACAGATTGGTAAAATGTTGAATGCTCGCGATCCAAAGATCGTCAGCGGTCCTGAGGTTTTGAGCAAATTTGTCGGTCAGAGTGAAGAAAACGTGCGTAAACTCTTTGCGGATGCCGAAGCAGAATATAAATCCAAGGGCGAAGACTCAGGCTTGCATATCATCATTTTCGATGAATTGGATGCTATCTGTAAGCAACGTGGTAGCCGCGGTGACAGCACCGGTGTCGGTGACTCGGTCGTCAATCAATTGCTCGCCAAGGTACGTAATGCGGAGTAATGGTTATGGTAGACGAGGCATCACTAATTCACTACATGTTAGATGGATGGTGTGGAACAACTGAACAATATCCTGATTATCGGTATGACCAATCGCAAGGATATGATCGATGAGGCTTTACTTCGTCCAGGTACAGTCAACATGATGACGGAAAGACATATCAGATACTGATTTGGTTGTATAGGTCGTCTGGAAGTACACATGGAAGTCGGTCTGCCTGATGAAAAGGGTCGCGTACAAATCTTGAAGATTCACACCAACAAGGTTATAACTGCCGATGACAAACTGTAAAGACTATTACTAAACCACCCAATCTATAGATGCGACAAAATAATATTCTGGACAGCGATGTATCATTGGAAGAGCTGGCCGATTTGACCAAGAATTATAGTGGTGCTGAAATTGCTGGTGTGGTCAAAGCAGCATCGTCCTATGCATTTTCGCGTCACATCAAGGTAAGCTATCTCGAATATGGATGAGGACCTAAAAAGGACCGCTATTTTAACACAAGGCACAATAATGCGTAGGTTGGTACAGTCGCAGGTGTAGCACCAGATGTTGAGAACATGAAAGTCCAAATGGAAGACTTTTTGGCAGCTTTGGAAGAAGTACCTCCAGCTTTTGGTGTTTCCGAGACAGAATTGCAGCAATGTGTCCAAAACAGCATCATTCCTTTTGCACCGCATATTGAGGTAAATAGGAGCGATGAACCATATTTTTTAATCATATCCTAATTTCTGGTTCGATTTCAGCAAATCTTGGCAGATGGCAAACTATACGTTGATCAAGTACGCCAGTCGACTCGCACACCTCTTGTTAGTCTTTTGCTTCATGGCCCAGCTGGTAGTGGTAAAACGGCTTTGGCAGCTACTGTTGCCATGGAGAGCGAGTTCCCCTTCATCAAATTGATCTCGCCGGAAACCATGGTTGGTATGACGGAAAGTGCTAAAATCAACGAAATCAACAAGGTATGTACCTCTTTCTCTTCATCTTTGTTTTCCGTTCCTTGGCTCATAATTCGTTCTGTGACAGGTGTTTAATGACTCGTATAAATCTCCCCTGAGTGTCATTGTAATCGATAACATCGAGCGATTATTGGGTATGTTGATGACCTATGTGTGTATATCGAATTCAAAACGCTGATTGCTTGCATGATAGATTGGGTACCTATTGGTCCTCGCTTTTCGAACGCTGTCCTGCAAACCTTGCTGGTACTTTTGCAGAGAAAGCCGCCAAAGGTAAGATCCTTTTTCACCGAGAATATATGACGATTAGTATGCTTATTTGAGATTCATAGGACCGACGCTTGCTTATACTGGCGACAACAACACAACGACACATCTTGGATCAAATGGATATGGCCGATGCTTTCGATTCTGAGATCTATGTGCCTACCATCACCTCATTGGAGGGTGTGGATATTGTACTTCAGGTATGGCTGCGGCTCAGTTGGTATTTTTTGTTCATTTGATTATATACTAACGTAAACAACACAGCAACTTGGCCTGTTTACCGACGAGGAACGTAAGCGCACTTTATCCATCTTGTCAGATGCGAAGATGGACGAAAAATTGGCCATTGGTATCAAGAAATTGCTTATGATTATTGAAATGGCAAGACAAGATGCAGACAAGATAGAGAAGTTTGTCAATACCCTCCTCTCTTTGAAGTAATGTAGAAACATTGTAAGTCGGGTCTTTTGGCGCGATTATCTCTAATATTTTAAAATTCTTGCCAAACTAAAAACCAGTCGCCGCACGCCAAAATTTGCGAGCTAAAAAACAGCCACATGGTGTTCCTTTTCATCATATGGATTTAGCAGCTACTTCGCTTGGTGTTATTTATTCATTCAAAGATGTTGGAAAAGTTCAATGGAAGGGGAGAACTTTCTGTAAAGGGCTATTGTCAATGTCGATCTCGCGTCTTTGTAGCATTATTTAATAAGTTGTCTTTGTCAGTAAATGTGTGTCCTTGATTTTTTTCTTTCCAGTTTTCGGTGATTAAAGGTGCATGAGCAGAAATGCTTTACCAATGTAGCTGATCTGGCGACATTGCTCATTGTTCATTCATTGGTGTGTGTCAAGGTAATCATTCATACTTATAGAGCTCTATTTTCATGCAGTTTCTTTTTGTTTTTATCAGATTTTATTTTTGGAGCTTTTTTTCATTTAGAAAATGGTCATTCATACTTCTTTTGTAGCTTTAAATTTTATGCAGCTTCTTTCTGCTTTTTATCTTTACAGTCTTTTTCTTCAGTTTTTATTTTGGACTTTTTCCTGAAAAAGGATGAATTCATTGTTCTTTGGAGCTCTATTTTTGAAGCTTTTTCTTTTTTGCTTTTATATTTAAAGCTTTTATTTTTGGAGCTCTTTTCTTCTTTTTGTCTTCGTTATTCTCTCACTTCGGTTCACCTAAGAAGCCCTGGTACTATTTTATTTCATCAAGTTCCTAGCTGCGTCCATCGCCCAGACTATGGCTTTCCCGTGTAGCTGACTCGGTTAAATCGACCATCACCATCAGAAGGTACCATCAAATGGTTTTTTATCAGTTCTTCAACAAGAAAAAACTTACCTGTTCTTTATTCTATTCTTCCATAGCTTTTGGCGTTCTCTCCGGTTTTCTTTTTCGCCTGGCAAGTCATCCATCCCTCCAAATCTTTCGACTTTGTTTCGCGCACCAAATGTTGCCAATCCGGTTTTTGTCGTCAAAGGGCATCATCGGTGGTGTGGCTTCCTTTTTCATCGGTAACGCTTACGCGTCCTTCTCAGCTTGGCTTCACCTGGATTACTTCCCGTGGTATCGTCTTTGATCTTCTTCCCGACCATTTTATTTTTGTAGTTTGTAGTATGTATATTTGTATTTTAGTTGGTAGTCTTCTTGCAGTCTTTTCCTCCTTTTTTTTCCCACAGGGTTTTAGGAGGGTTTTTACAGACGCAGCTATTGTTTTACTTTTTTTTATATTTGTATCTTTTTTTTTTCGGTCGGGAAGCTCTAGATATTTGCTGCCTCACATAACAAAGGTAAGATATCTTGCCGACATTTGAATCAATCAAAGAGCTTACTAACTCATTTTTTTTAAATACCTATAACCTTGGGCAGGACGGGACTGAGGGGGTCAATAAGTGCTGCTGCACACATGTTTGGAAATCATGACTGTACGGTATGCCAAAGTATTGGCATTGATATACCAAATTTCCATCAAGAGTCTCGCCCAGGTTATGCCGTATTGCGTTAGGCTTTTGTCTGACGAATGTCGCTCAATGTAAGGGGGCGACTTCCAGTAGCAGGTGGCATCCATTGCACAGCGGATGTACGGCTTGTTATGGGGAAGTTTACTTGTAAATCCGAAAAGCTACGTCGTTAGTGTTCCTGTAATTTGCTTTCGAAACAAACAATTTAGCTTCTACTAAATGCGGCATACTGTTCTGTATATATCGTAGAATATCTTTTTCTATGATGTTTGTCGATAAAACATTTTCATATAATGAATGTATTTTATTCTAACTGTAGTTTTCGCGATAAAGGATTGGCGAATAAAATAGCAAGTAGGAAAAAGATGAGGAGTTGCAATAACCGATCAGTGGGGCGGAAAATAGAAGCGGCGCAACGTGACACGGTTGCCATCGTTTCCTATTTTACTTCAGAAATCGAAGACGACTTCTTTGCTGATTCTCGCCTTCTCAACGATGCATCTGCCTTCTTTATACTTTTGGGATTCTTCAAAGGCGTGAAGATATTTCCAGCCCAATTTCATTTCGCATATGGAACAATAGATGTCGGCCACGGTATGCATTCCAGTCATCAGCATACGCTCTTCCTTGGCGCCTATGTAAATGTTGATGACATGATCCACCAAATACGCTGGGCCGTGCTAATCGTTAAAACAGAGAAATGAGCTTTATGGTTATCTATATCGAAATCTTTTCGATTTACCCGTCCCTGAAAGGCCCGTGAGACAATATCGTCGTGCCGTAGTAACTGAGAATGACAGATACTACAAGTATAAATACGGCCATCTTGCTTGAAATAGTTTTGGTATCTTTTATTTCGCATGCTGATAGGATAACAACAAAGATGTACACAGTATAAAACAAAGCATAACCGATTTTCATGCTGGAAATGATCATGGGTCAAAGTCACATGAAGAAGCCATCCATCTGTTGTTTACCGAGATCCGTCGAGATAACAATAGTCAGCCTATTCATCGTTTCAAAAACCAACCATTCAACAATGGTCCGGTTTATTCACCTCTTGAGAGATCGCGTATCGATATCTCTTACAACGTCCACGGACAACAAAGCGCATCGAAAATCATGACCCCGTCGGATTGAAAGCTAGAGACAAATTGGATGAGTAGTTGGCTCTGGTCATTGGCAACTTCTTTGACAATTATAATGTTAGGTCGAGCCAAATCAGGTTATTAATGTAATCTACTGTACTTGATGTCTGCGCCGTTTTCTCTGAACGATGTCGGTATCAAAATATAGTCCCAAAAGCTTCTCTCGTGACATCATCCCGGGAGATGTTGCTTTCAAAATTATCTCTATCGAGAAATCCCATTAGGTCGCTACCAGGTTTGTGTAAAAAAGCCGTTCTTAATTTTACGGATAGGTTACTGTATACCTTACCATTAATCTTTTTGGTAATTCTTCATTGTTGACACTATGGCTTCTTGAAGGATCCAATAAAGTATAATAGTGTCGACTCTACCGAATTGAAGATACAGCACTAGTTTCGTTTATACAAAACAGCATACCGTATCAAAATAGATGTTAATCAATTCGATGCAATCCCACAGGGAGTATAGACCATAGTCGTCCACCACGTGTGAAGCCAGGCCGAAAATTGCAGAATGGTGCAGGCTCGAATACCAAATCTTCTTCGGTACCCTCGTTGCTCTCGCTACAAACTGCAGGCAGTATGCATCAAAAGTGCGTCCTAGCATCTGTTTCATACCTGTACGTTAAGTTAAACTTCGGCCGTTGTGGGCCGCTCGAAAATCGGAAAAGTCGACATCATCCATAGGTTGCCGTTGTTGTATCTTCTTTACCTTGAAGTTGCTAGAACTTTCGAAATGCAAATCAGAGAAATGATCTGTACCATGTATTGGAAGCATACCAATTTTTTCGGACCCGTGAGAAGGTCATGATCGGCATTGCGCAATCCAACGAAAAAAGATGACCACACATGCATTGTCACCCCATAAGTTTCGGAATAAATGCTCGACAGCACCATGAAACGATCAGGTTATTGCTGGCCTGATTTGACTTCAAACATCGACTCATATTTACTCACACCAGCTTTTTTGGCTGTGGGCGTTAGCAATATAAACGAATGCGGATATCAGTTCAGGAAATCAAGATGCCAGAAGCTGTTTAGAACCAGTTCATCATTTTTTTTCTTTTTTGTGGTGACTGCAATCAATATGTACTAAACTGATTGGTTTCTCGAACTCATTTCACCACTCCTTTCGATGATTCAATCAAGATACCAGAGGCTGACCAAAACCGTTTCATCATTTTTTGTTTTACGGTAGCTACCATCAAAAATGCCAGTTGTTGTTCAAAACCAGTTCATCATATGTTTTTTGGTGAATGCAATCAGGATGTCCGGAACCAGTAAGCGAAACTGCAAGTATGCGCTTATGATGGATGTAACCAGAACATCTTCCAGAGGAGACACTGTAATAACCTTACTTTTGAGACAAAAAGTACGCGTGTGACCGAATCGTCTCACATTTGTTAATCTTGGATTTTGCCTTTTGATGTGGCTTTCGTTTGTTCGATTGCCTTAGTATAAATACATCTTTTGACCTCGTCTTCACATCGCAGTTTTTTTTTCCTGTCTCTTTCTCAATCTTCCTCCCTCTTCTGATCACAAAAACGAAAGAAATACTCGCACGATGAGCACAACGTTTATCCAGACCAGTAATACATTATCGTCGGCGCCTTTGAGAACGCCTTCAACGTGGCACAGATTAGGAGCATCTGGTTAGGCAACGAACATTGACAGAACCTGCATACAAAGGCAAAGCCTTCGTGTCTGGTAAGTTCTACGTATTTTTGCCAATAATATAAAAGATGGCTCACATCAATATGCCAGCGTTTATACTTTGGTATTATCACTGAGAGTCAAGGCCCACTGAGTGGATGGACTTCTCGAAGTCCGAAAAATCTTGCACACGGCCACTTCTACACGACATGACGATCCTCTGCCTCCTGTGCTTGTGGAAGTACAGCACATGGCGAATATGTCTTTCTACCGTCGATTGATGGTCATGGCTTATCGGTCATTAAGCGGCACTCGGTGCCACCAGTTGTGCTAGTTATTGTCATCCAAAATACCACTACAACCTTGACCGATCGTGCTGCTATCTCGCAGAAACATACCATTCCTTTTGGAGATATCTTGCGACAACAATTGGGCAAAGTCCTGCTATATACTGAACGCATCTTCAATTGCTGATCATTTACAACACACTCCTTTGAATCCTCTGGTCGCTCTTGGCCATTTCTTGATCCAACGGAAACGATCGCTGCGAGATGTCGCTCGAAATGACGATATCACCGTCAAAAAGATTTATAATATTGCGAAAGGGATGTTCGGTGATAATTTGCAACACGATTCAGACACGGATGTCCTACAAGAAATTTATGATCAGTGCAACGAGGCGAGAACCGCTTTGTGCGAGGACGTCACCGATGTCACTTCAAGGAAACGTACAATTGATTGCTTGGACAAAATTATCAATATGATCAACGACCAGCAGGAGGCACCAACAACTCCAACTGCAAACAAACCAAACAATTCTGACGCCAAAGGCTGGGAATTCGCAGAAAACTATCGAAAAGATCACGGCGCTTTCAACTGGGAGAGCATCTTTCAACTGGGAAAAACAAAAGGGTTATTTAAAAGCTATGCAAAATGGACAGGCGCCAAGTCGGCGTATTATCGACAAAAAAGACAGAAGCAATAGCTTTTCTTCTTCATGTATATATTTGTATTAACTATGTCAATATCATTGTATTTCCTTGTCACTTTTTATGCTGTATGCCAAACTATGGTAATACTGACCAATGATGGTTTCACGCAAACAGTGGATCTGCAGGGTCGAAAACAGCGTCCACTCAAGGTTGGTATCAGCGCGGAAAATAAGATTATGGTACTCGTCGGTAGCTATGTTACACAAAAGACGATGTGTTGACTTAATACTAGCTGTTTACCTGTGCAATACAAAAGCAAGGCTTTGATTCTTCTTTCATACTTCGTTGTCCCGTGTTCCTAGGACAAATTCCGCCGGCTCCACTTTTCCGTTCCGATGTGGTTGGTTAACCCAAAATCGAGGAGTGAAGTTTCGAAATATCGGCACAGCACAAACGCAAATGTAGAGGGGAATACTGGCGTAATTATTAGCGAACAAGTGTCAAATAATTCTGTCGTTTGTCGTTGTATTTATCATGATGATAAAAAGTCTCGCAGAGAATAGTATATATATATATCATACTTGAAAGAAAACTAACTACGTATATAGACATGAGGTGAGCTTTTATAGCTCGTTTATTACGAAGGTTTACGCTTTACGCAATCATCCAACTTTGAAGCAGAATAGCCAGAAAAGCTGTTCAAATCCAGTTTTGATTTTGGACCCTCTGGCTGCTATTTTTTTTTTTTTTTTTTTTTTTGGAAGAAGGTATTGTTGTTGGGGATCTAATTGATATTTGAACAACACTGAAAGGGGAAATGGCGATCTTGTCTTGGCACTGTTACTGTTCAGTACCTTTAGTTAACCATGTAGAGTTTCGTTTAGATTAGTGCGAAATGCTGATTCGTCAATGAAATCACAGTTGCTGCAAGGATTTCATGTCATTCTTCAACCATGCATCACCCGGTTGAACCTTTCCTCAATCTTAGCAGGTAAATCTCGAGCGATTGATTAGAGATGTACTTTCTTAAAGGTTACTTTGCACTTCCGGTCGTAAAGTTATATATTAGGGCAGTTATCGGACACTTCTAGCCCTGCTCGTTTTCGCTCTCGGTTTTCCTCAACACCCGCTGACACCCTTCTCAGGTTTCTAAGGTGGTTTCATGTACACGTATTCGCTAAAGTTAGTAATAGAATCAAGCGGGTCGGTTTCAAAATTAACGTCCAGTTCGACAACGGCGACTACATCATCTTCATCATCGACCATGTTGCTAGGACCATGTTATCGATAAACGTAGTTGACATCATATTCAAAATAAAGCGACAAGATTATATGACACTTGTGCGTTAATAAGTACGCCAGTATTCGCTGTGACATGCGTCCGGTGCTATGCCGATATCACGCCTCTTACTCTACTTGTGTAACTTCACTTCCGATCCTGAAGATGTACCAGCAATTTCTCAATATCTGAAAAGAAAATCGCGGTTTGCGTTAACCAACAACATCGGGAATAAGGTCAAGTGGAGCGGACGGAGTTTGTCCTAGGAACACAGCACAACGAAGTATGAAAATCAAAGCCTTGCTTTTGTATTGCACAGTATACAGCTGGTATTAAGTCAACACATCGTCTTTTGTGTAACATAGGTATCGAGGAGGTATCATAATCTTATTTTTACGCAATGATACTAACTTGAGTGGACGCTGTTTGCCACCCTGCAGATCCACCGTTTGCGAAAAAGCATCAATGGTCAGTATTACTATAGTTTCGCATACAGCATAAAAGTAACAATGAAGTACAATGATATGGATGATAATTGTCGATAACAAGTTTAATATGCATATGACCAATAATAGACGTTGAAAAATTATTTGCCTTTTTTTTCACGATAATATGCTGACTTGGCGCTTGTTCCCAGTTCAAAAGCGGTTTCCCAGTTGAAAGCGCCGTGGTCTTTGCGATACTTTTCAACAAATTGCCAGCCCTTGGTTCCGGTATCATCGATTTGTTGGATAAAGAAAAAAAAAAATAGCCCAGAGCGACAAGAGGATTCAAAGGAGTGTGCTGTAAATGATCAGAAATGGAAGACGCGTTGAGTATGTTGCACGACTTTGCCCAACTGTCACAAGGTAGCTCCAAAAGATAGGGTTGCTTCTCCGATATGACAGCAGGATTGGCCAACTGTGTAGTGGTGTTATGAATGATGATAACGAGTACAACTGGGGATATCGAGTGATGCTTCAGTACAGATAAACCATAACCAATCAACCGACGATAAAATGCCATTCACTTCCACATAAACAGGGTGTCAGAGGAATTATCATGTCGTGCAAATGAGGCGGTGTAAAGGACATGTGCTTTCAAGGAGTTCATTCATTTTGTGGGCCTTGACACATATTGATCGACAGCATGTTTATCTAGGAACGAAAAGAGAACAGGAATATTAGATAGACCGATGGCAAAAAAAAAGGGGGCCTATGCCATTGATCTCATTGAGAAAGAAATTATTGACATGTTTATCATATTGTATCAGCTTGCTCATTACATTACGCCCGGGGTTGTACAGTACTTGTTAGGCAAAGTGAAGGAGAAGTCGCCGACAGAACTTCTTGAAAAAATCAAATCAAAATATAAGTGACGCCGAGGGGATCGATTGTTTAAGTTCAACGAAAATTTTTGATTAACAACTTTCTGGATGGTGATGTTATGCACTGATTACGGGAGGATCAGTGCAAGCTGGACAAGAGGGTGGTGTTAAGTGCTTTCGCAAGACAAGGACAAGACAATACAAGAAAAGGAATAAAACAGAAATAAGAACGAAATCGGAACAAGAATATAAACAGGAAAAGAACCAAGCCAAGGACAAGACAAGATGGAGAACAAGATAGTACGAGAGAATACACACACACGCACAATTCTTGACTGGGGTTTATTTCATAAAAGAGATCGGGGTATTTATACTAAAAGATGCGAAACAGAAGAGACAACGATAATAAAATAAATAAATGAAATGCAGAGCATAACATGAGGTAACGCATAGATCGATAGAGGAGAACACAAGAGCAAGTATAGGGGTAAGCGCATGGACCAGCATGGCAACAAGTGTGCTTGGACCAATAATGCACATGGCCATGCATTATCGCCAAGACAACGTGTGCGCGGGAATGGTCATGACAGGTGATGTCAGTTGCAAAGCAAAATCAGCGAGGATTCGGCTGTTAATGAATATGGTTGTTAAGACCATATTTGGCGCTGAAGCCAAGAACGATATACACTTTGGCCCACGGGATGGTCTTATCAGACAATACCTGGCGTTTATATGTCCTCAACTTGCAAGAAAGCCAACTCATCACTTGTTCTGATCGTCGTTCAGCATACAAAGCTGATAACGACTTTGTATGGTGCCAACGGTATTAGGGAGGAAATCAGACAATGAGCGATCACTCTGAGCTGGTATCAGCAAAGTGACAAGTGAGGTGCCGCGTTCAGCAAAATGAGCCAATGAAGGCTGGATATCATAGAAAAGCCAACCAATGAAGTTCCGAGTTGCATTTCGAGTTGCATCCAGTGTAGACGTTACACATTTAGCAAAATAAGCCAATGAGAGCTGGGTATCGAGGAAAAACTAACCAATGAAGTTCCGAGTTGCATTTCGAGTGCAGCCAGTGTAGACGCTACACATTTAGCAAAATAAGCCAATGAGGGCTAGGTATCGAGGAAAAACTAACCAATGAAGTTCCGAGTTGCATTTCGAGTTGCATCCAGTGTAGACGTTACACATTTAGCAAAATAAGCCAATGAGGGCTGGGTATCGAGGAAAAACCATCCAATGAAGTTCCGAGTTGCATTTCGAGTTGCATCCAGTGTAGACGTTACACATTTAGCAAAATAAGCCAATGAGGGCTGGGTATCGAGGAAAAACTAACCAATGAAGTTCCGAGTTGCATTTCGAGTGCCGCCAGTGTAGACGTTACACATTTAGCAAAATAAGCCAATGAGGGCTGGGTATCGAGAAAAAACCATCCAATGAATTTCCGAGTTGCATTTCGAGTGCCGCCAGTGTAGACGTTACACGTTTAGCAAAATAAGCCAATGAGGGCTGGGTAACGAGAAAAAACCATCCAATGAAGTTCCGAGTTGCATTTCGAGTGCCGCCAGTGTAGACGTTACACATTTAGCAAAATAAGCCAATGAGAGCTGGGTATCGAGGAAAAACTAACCAATGAAGTTCCGAGTTGCATTTCGAGTGCCGCCAGTGTAGACGATACACATTTAGCAAAATAAGCCAATGAGGGCTGGGTATCGAGAAAAAACTAACCAATGAAGTTCCGAGTTGCATTTCGAGTGCCGCCAGTGTAGACGATACACATTTAGCAAAATGAGCCAATGAGGGCTAGGTATCGAGGAAAAACTAACCAATGAAGTTCCGAGTTGCATTTCGAGTGCCGCCAGTGTAGACGTTACACATTTAGCAAAATAAGCCAATGAGGGCTGGGTATCGAGGAAAAACCATCCAATGAAGTTCCGAGTTGCATTTCGAGTGCCGCCAGTGTAGACGTTACACATTTAGCAAAATAAGCCAATGAGGGCTGGGTATCGAGAAAAAACTAACCAATGAAGTTCCGAGTTGCATTTCGAGTGCCGCCAGTGTAGACGATACACATTTAGCAAAATGAGCCAATGAGGGCTAGGTATCGAGGAAAAACTAACCAATGAAGTTCCGAGTTGCATTTCGAGTGCCGCCAGTGTAGACGTTACACATTTAGCAAAATAAGCCAATGAGGGCTGGGTATCGAGGAAAAACCATCCAATGAAGTTCCGAGTTGCATTTCGAGTTGCATCCAGTGTAGACGTGGTAATAATAAAATAAGGTATTCCACATATACATATTCCTCTTTCATCGCATTATGTGCATATCCACGGATATGTCTCATCCTCAAGACAGTGCAAATGTATCGAGTTATACCACACTCAAATCCTAATCAGTGAAGATGGACCTTATGACCATCTTTATCCAGGGTTCGACCTTTGACATAAAACAATCATGCCATAAAATAATCATGCGATCCACATTCACAAATTCACCGTCTCCTTGTCAACCAAAAGCCACAAGGACAACCGTATTCTCTTGCCGCTCGTCCACAGTCCGTTCTACGGCAATATCTACAGGATAAATGGTTGATTATAATACGATCAATTCAAATAACGATTCATCATAAACTATACAAGCAGACATAGAATGAAGAATTGATTTCCCTTCTTTTGTTTCTCAATAATCCGAGTCTCAAAAGCTTTCAGTTTTCTCTGTCTTTACATTTATTTTTACTTACAAAAACCACAAGCACTACTCAACGTGTGCAACATTCTGTTGCCTTTTTCTTTCAGCGATAAAAGCCACTTGCTCATCAAACCTGTTCCAGGTGCGTAGCGCGGTGGCAACTGGGAGGACAAATCGCTTTTGCGTTTTAAGGCCGGACCCGAAGCCCAAACCCTTCATCAGATTTCGGATTGAGGAGTAGCGGCACGCAATCCCGAGGTCAGGGCAGTAACTTGCGCATCTTGAAAGCGGCCTTGAGTTCTCCTGTGAAGATTCCCTTCGAAGTGAGGCGGCACAAAGGGATGGCCGCCCGCCATCGCCATTAGCGCGATCGGGAGCCAGCTGTTTCGCAGACTTGAGGGCAACACTGACGGATGGGTGCAAGGCAGTGACGGGTTTCTTCAAGCTTTTACCGTCTAGAAGTTGCGGTTGGAGGCTGTTAAACATCTCTTGGGTCAAGCTTTGCTACATGATGAGGTGGCAACTACAGAGAAAGGAGGATTCAGTAAAGCTGGCTTTGAGGTTGCCTTTTTTATGGCTTCTGTTTTGCTTACCATTATCGGTATGTTGTCATCAACCATTCTCAGACGATGCTGACTTGCAATACACGCACACTTTTGCCATGGCGTTCGCCATTCCATCGTGCCAAGAAAAGGTTCTTGGGATGCCTTCAAGAAGTAGTTGGAATGAGAGTGAAATGAATTGACAAGAGATGCCAGAAAATTCGCGCTGCGGTAAAAAAAGAGGTCACTGCTCCCAAAAAAAAAAATTGATCATTTTATGCAGCAAACTTCGCAAATACAAAGAACGCCAAACATCCCATCCCTGCCCCCTTTTTTTTGTCACCACTATATGTCGTCGACCAATATGGACATTTCATCATACCTTTGTTGACATGCAAAAACACAAGTGATCGTGATGTTCCCATTGACCTTGATGATACCCCGTGATCCAAACAGTGAGAGTGCCGACGAAAGATGGCGGACTCTGGACCCACCGAACTGAAATCAAACCTGAACATAGGCCCCGATCCTCGAAGAGAAGATTTATCATCTCATTGAAGAGACGGATGCAGTCGAAAAAGAAGCAGCTCTTTTCCTTTCAGCTGTTGGCCTGCATGATATTTATCAAAACTTGATGCTTCTTATAATGGCAAGTGAATACCTTGAATATTTTCCAGTTTCTAAGATAAGCCTCGTTTCGTCCGACTTTTGCAAGCATTCGCTTGAACTTGTCCAGAGCTTTCTTGAACTTGTCGTTGATTACTGCGTCGTCGAGGTCTGGGTACTTTATTCGGTAGTCGGAGAGAATCCCAGAAGGGGCCATATTCGTCGGGTTTGTGATTTAGGAAGTAGTTCATGATGGTTCAAGTTTCATGAGGATTGCCTTATAAAAAGAACTCATGGGTGCGGTCTGGACCTCGAGTGATTTATCATAAATCTGGCTTCCAACAACTCAGGAGGCACGCCCCTTGTGTCACTCTTTTTCCGAAACCATTTGGAAAATTTCGAATGTCTTTGGCACTTCTTTCATTCATTTTATTCAGAACAACTTCATCGAAACCCAATATTTCAGCTTTCCAACACAGCCGCAAAAAGAAAGCATGTTTCTGACTTCGATAGAGGCCAAGTTATCGGTCTTTATCAGAGCCACAAGAGTTATGGTTACATTTCATGAAAACCTGTGTTCCCACTTTCCACCATACATCGTTCAAAAGTATACCAATACCAAACACGGTGTCGAACCCCCCAGACAAACAACAGGAAGACCAAAAGTGTTCACTGAGTATACAAAAAGTGCGATGGTGCGCGCATGCCGCTTTACACCCTTTGCACCCAGTTTCGGTCCGGCTTCAACGTTTTGTTGCTGCGAGGAAAAAGATGTCAAGGCCCACGTTGGACCGAAGAATGAAAGAACTCGGTTGTCTTGTTACTCTAAGCCAGCTCTCACTGTCAAGCAAAAGACAAACCGCCTGAAATGGTGCCAAGAAAAGGTCGGCTGTACCTGGAGCAGTGGAGATCCGTGACTTGGTCGGACGAATCACAATTCACGCCAATTGACGACGTTAGAAGTAAATAAATATTTGACCATGTCGCCTACTCGAGCAGCGCTCTCTGACGTTATTTTTCTTACATCATAGGTTGCTTGCACCCTTCTGGAAGCATATGCAGAATCCATGGCGCATACAGAATTCTCCAAATCGCTCCATTACAGGTACATCCAACATACGGATAATTTATCATCATAGATCTTGTAATATATGAGAAAAGATATTGAACAGTCTCAAAGGTTTCTTATTGTCTCTTTTATTCTACAAATTTATTTCAATTGATCTAATCTGCTTATTTATACTTTAGCCTTGTATCGGAACTGATAACTATCTGTGAGCAGTCCACCCTTACAAGGTATATTTACAAGGATCCATGTGCTGCGATGTGACAGCGTTACTCTTATGTCCTGATCCATCGGTGTTGAGAAGTTATGGACGGAGAAGCTCAATCGGCAATAGGAGTTATGGATGAAGAAACTGAATCGGTGTTCTAATGGAGAAGCTCACTCAGAATGGGAACACGTCAATATCCCGATCCATCCTGTTTTGGAACACATGTTTAGGATTGATCATACGACAAGTCGTGGATATACCACAGATCTGACATGTAGATTGGAAAAATACAGCATAATCCAAGGCGGTCATCATTCCAGAAACAGGAATACATTCCCGACAAGGTGTATAGGCTCATTGAATACGAAGCCGTGGTACTGGAAAATGGACTGTTCGCTTTGGAAGCCTTATGTTTCGGCAGTTCTATGTCACAATATTCATGTAATCTATGGGCATAACCACGGGATTAAATATATGCATGCATTGACTTTTTCCAAGTAGGGAACGTTTTGACTGCCCAACCACGGTATTTTTCCACCGGTGGTCTTCCGAAAGGATACGATAAAGATACTTTCAACGTAATCTCACAAATGCTCTATGTCTTGTAAGCTTTTTTGGGAGGCAGAGAGAGAGGTTTATCTGACTACATTGTTCTCAACTGTCGCATTGCTAAATAGTTAGGAGAACATTCATAACAGATCACCACCTTGCGATCTGGGCGAATCAGAAGCCACTTACTGCCGTTATACGTTTCGACCATTGATTAGTCTGGCTGTGGGTGCTCTCGAGGGCCTTACATGTGGCTTTCGTGTTGGAGAGACCCTTTTGAGAGCAATGACGGATGGAAGTATGATGCCGATGGCACCGTATTTATCCCCAAGAGCGGACTTGAACCTCTGTTACTCGAAGCATCTGGAGCCTATGGCACGCGAGATAAGAGTAGACATGTTTTCGACCATTTAAAAGGTGCATTCGGCTGTTATAGCATGCTTGCCAAAATCTTGTCTACTTATCAACACGCGGACACATCGCTAATGAACGACGTTCGAACAATTTTTATCCATACAAGCGCTAAGGGTTAGCATATAGTCTTTACTTTTCTTTCTACATATGCTTAGAAAAAGGAATCAAACATTGTTAGAGATGATTACATCCGCGTATGGGTCATGCGACCAGTGATGCAGGGAGAGTTCATTTCCTTCGAAAGACACGGGAAAGTGAAAATCAATTTGGACTCTGAAGACAGAAGAAGCATAATCGAGGTCATGAAGTTTTTTATGGATTTGAAGGCAATCAATAATGAGGTTGCATGTTTATCAAGAAACATCTCCATAACCACCCTTTCAGGTTTTACTTGCGCGTAGTGTACAAGCTTTATTAAAGCTTAGACAGTCAGATGAAGAGGCTATTTATAGCGTAGAAAACGTCGATGTCCCATCGGATAGCATGTTGAAGCCAAAGTTGTACAAGCTAAAAAAGAATTCCACTCGAAGCATATCTGTGATTTGGACCCATTCTCGTCCTTATTCTGATCGCATGTATAAATAGTTTTCTTCATTCACATACTTATTGCTTTATATTCCCGCCTGCAGTATTTGCTTTTTTTTTCTTTTTCTTTTTCTTTTTCTTTTTAGTTTTAGATTTATATATGATCAACTCTTGTTTGCGGACCGATGTCACATACAGCTGCCCATGATGAAATGCTGGTGGACGAAACAAGACTACAGTAACATGTTTTGAAATGCAGAAACCAAGTTGTGATGAGCAGATCATTGCTGGAGCACTCTGTGGGATGATTGAGCCTTGCTAGGCGGTTTCTGCAGTCTTGCATATCATGAGTATATTAATTGATCGGGAGCCCTGGATGGACCGAAAGCATTGGCTTTGATGGAGGTACGAATGAGACCATAGTGAGTAGCCGCTGTGGTTGTAGCCGGGAGTACCACCTTGCCAAAGGGTGAGATATTGAGCTTTTTCAAGCACTCGGGAAAAAACGATGATAGTCTCGATAATTCCACGGGAATGAGTTTTGGTTATGATAGAATAGCATCCCTCATCTTCGACGCGCATGTAAAGGATCTGCGCTCGTGGGCCGATTTCACCCGACTTCCAATACTTTTTGACAAATACCCGCCGAGCGCCCTTCCTCTTTGTTTTGCTTGGTGTTAAAAAGCGCATCGAATGACTCTTTTTCAACACACGTAACGTACAAATGACCTTTCTATTTTCCATTCGAACCCGCCATAGCGATTGTAATCGCAAATTTCTCAAAGTGGTATTTGTAAAGGCGGATATTGATGTATCAGAGTGAGTGAATAAATCAAAACAGTTCTTGCAACCCCGGTATTTGGAATGATTCCATTTTTGACGTTCTTATGTGTCTGCGAATTTTGCTGCATAAAGAGACCAGTCTTTTCTTTTTGGAAGTCAGTGACCTCTATTTCACCGCAGCGCGAATTTTCTGCCACCTCATGTCAATCCTTCTCATTCTCAACCTAACTACAGTACTCGGTGAACGCGTCTCAAGAACCTTTTTCTGTCATGGTGGAATGGCGAACGCCATGGCAATAGTGTGCGCGTATTGCAAGTTAGCGTCTTCTGGGAATGATTGGTGACAACATACTGATATGGTAAGCAAAACAGAAGCCATTAAAAGGAAGCCTCAAACCAGCTTTATTGAATCCTCCTTTCTCTGTAGTTGCCACCTCATCATGCATCAAATGTGACCCAAGAGATGCTTAACAGCCTCAAACTGCAACTTCTAGACGGTGGCCCCTGATCGCCAACGGTGATGGCGGGCGGCCATCCCTTTGTGCCACCTCACTTCGAAGAGAAATCTTCACACGGGAACTCAAGACCGCTGTCCAGGTGCGCAAGTACTGCCTTGACCTCGGGCTTGCGTGCTGCTACTCATCAAGCCGAATTCTGATGAAGCGTTTGGGCTTAGGGTCCCGCGTTAAACGAAGCGATTTGTCCTTCCAGTTGCCAGCGCGTTATGCACATGGAACGGACCTCATGAGCAAGTGAGTGTCGGCAGATCTGAGCGGACAATTTCCGATGTTCTATATGTACCCAAGTCGGAAGAAAACAATCTACCGCCTGTCCTAGGAGAAGTTCAGCATACAATCGACAACGACTTTATCTTGCGGTTAATGAACTATGCTATTTCTGTTATCGCCATTACGATAAAATTCTGCCCGTCGTCATTGTGTTCGCTATTTCATCCGTTAAATATCAAGTCAACAAGAGAACGAAACGGCCCAGAAGATTGAACTTCCTGCTCAAGTACCCAAGTGAACCATGGGCTCGGGCTTGTTATATTGTAAGCAGCAGCTCCTTACAGGCGAAGTTATCATCACCGGTCGTACCGTTTGTCGCTTTGTCCGCCTTCTTGACGGAACAACATCCGTCGTTTTTAGTCAGTCCTCACCATGCTGACCCTACCATGCAGTTATTGTATTCGATTGCACGACACTTTCTTACAGAAGAGGTAGCCGATAACGGCGATTATCGGGAAGATGCACTATTTCTTTGCGAAAGCAGCATTGGCCACCCTCGGTGAACACATCCCCAGCTTGGAAAGCTAGCACGGCATTCAAAAGCTGTATGGAGCAGCCCAATCTCCGGGCCTCAGCCCTGTCGAGAACTTGTGGCGAATGATGAAGACCCGTGTCAGTCTAAAGTTCGAAGGAGGGATGACGATGGAGCAATTTCGGCGCGTAATCCTGGAAGTTTGGGAAAGCTTGGAACCTCCAGACTGAAACAAGCTGATCGAGTCGATGCCAAAGAGGACGCAAGCGGTGATCGATGTCAAAGGGTGGGGGCCGATCTGTACATTGCTACCTTTAATACGAACCCGGCGTGACCTCATGAGCAATCTGATACTGGATGACAGACGTGTCAGCAATATCCTCACTAACGAAACTACTGGTATGTGCTCATATCTGATTTTTTTTTGTCATCGCTTTATCTAATATACCGGTTTCTTTTTGTTCCTAGATCAACATGCTGTTGACCAGTATGTGTCGAGGCCCACCGAATGGATGAACTTCTCGAAGTCCGATGTCCTTTACACCGCCCCTTCTAACGACATGACGATCCTCTGCCTCCTGTGCTTGTGGAAGTCCAGATGCCCTACGACAAATTCTTGACTAATGCAACAAGGCGAAAGCGGCTTTGTGCGAGGACGTCTCCAATGTTTTTTTAAACGTACGATCGATTGTTTGGATGAAATAATAAATATCATCAACGACCAGCAGGAGCCAATAGCAACTGAATTGCCAAAAAGTAATGATGATTCTCGGGCCAAGGACTGGCAGTTTATTGAAAAATATCACTATGACCACGGCTCTTTCAACCGGGAGATCATCTTTCAGCTGGGAAAGACAAAAGGCCTGTTGAAAAACTATGCAAAATGGTCAAGCGCCAAGTCGGCATATTATCGAAACGAAAAAAAAAGGCAATAGCTCATTTCATGTATCATTATTTACCATCTGTATAAGAAGTTTGTCACGAGTACCATTAGTATGACTGTATCTCCTTGTTAGTTGTATGCTGTATGCGAAACTATGGTAATATTGACTAATGATGCTTTCACGCAAACGGTGGGTCTGCAGGGTCGCAAACAGCGTCCACTCAAGGTTAGTGAAACCTCTCGATACCTGTTCTTACACCCTTGAATATTTGCTGTTGGTACCTGTGCAATACAGAGGTAAGGCATCGATTTTCCTTTCATCCGTGCTGTGTTCCCAACACAACCTCCGTTGGCTGCACCTCTTCTCGTTCCAGTGCAGTTGGCCAACCCGAATCGCTTTATTTCAGATTTTGTTTACAACAGTACCCTTTCCTTTTTCAATATTTCCAGTCGTCTTACCTTTCGATCCCAAGGTAAGTTGCCACATCAAGGACTTATTGGGGCCAGTTAGCTTTCTTCCAAGCTTTTTTGAGATTGCAGGCCTTAAGCTTAAATTTGACATTGCATTCGTTATTAGTTGGGCCAGCCCACGATACCAACCGCATATTCTTTGAAGATTTTTTTAGGCAGGCGCTTCAATTCATGCTTCAAACGTCAGCTTTGATGGAGTAATAAACAATGGCAGCATGGCCTTGGTCTGTATTTCCTGTAGAACAAAAGGCTGGGAAGACGAGAAAGATACCGGATCCCAAGAAGTAATGTTGGTATGTCATTTACTGCAACCAGGGAAAGATCCAGTCAGAATTTTTGGCCGCTCTATCTTTCCCAGGTATGCTACATCACCCGCTATGCATACTGAATAACCACATTGACCTTCAATTTAAAATTGCCAGAACACAGGCTGACGCTGAAAGTGAACATGCCTTTGGTGTTCATGCGCAATCTGGATACCAAAGTTAGACTTTTAATGATGCCCGCATGATTCTCAACTCCTTACATGAACATTCATGACGGCCACCATTAACTGTTGAAATTATGTGGGTCAGCAAGTTACTATACCCCGGATCATGCTTTATTATGAAAAGGCCTATCTCCATTTACGCTTTCACGCCGGTACATCCGGCGTTTGCTCTAACAATTAACAAATCACAAGGCCAGTCGTTGCGTAAAGTCGGGTTACACCTTCCGGTGCTATTGTTTAGCCATGGCCAGTTATACGTGGCAGTTTCGCGGGTAAATGATGGGCAAAACTTGAAGTAACACTGGCACCCGAACACGTTGAGATGCCAATAACGAAAAAACATTGTGTACCATGAGGCTTTTCCTCGATATTAAATCAATGTAATAAAGTCGCAGCTCACGAAAAAAAAAAAAGAAAACATCATCGTTGGTGGAGAACAAGCATGATCGCGAAAACATGGTTCCTGTAATGATAACGACGCTCGTCGGACTCGAATTAGGCAGTCGGGGATTCAGGGGTTTGACCCACCTTGGTGATGCGAACTCTGTTGAATGACCCGAAACGAAGCGTAGGGGTTCATTCAGTCTAAGTGAAACGAGACAAGAGGTAGCTAGTCTAGCGACAAATAAAGTTGTTGTTCCTATTGTAAGTTCGACCATCTGAAAGTAAAAGAGCTGCTTCTTCTTTGGACTGCATCCGTTTCTTCAATGAGGTGATAAGCCCCTTCCCTTCGAGGATCGGGGTCTATGTTCAGGTTCGATTTCAGTTCGGTGGTCCATAGTCCGCCTATTTTCGCTGCCACCTCGCTGTTTATCACCCGGATCAACGGGAACCATCATAATCACTAGTGTTTTTCTTGTCACCAAAGGTATGATGAAATGTCCATATTGATAACGACATATAGTGGTGGTAAAAAAAAAAAAAAAACGGGGGGGGGGGTTTGCGTTCTTTGTGTGTGCGAATTTTGCTGCATAAAGAGACCAGTCTTTTTTTTTTTTTTTTTGGGAGCAGTGACCTCTTTTTTTACCGCAGCGCGAATTTTCTGGCATCTCTTGTCAATTCATTTCACTCTCATTCCAACTACTTCTTGAAGGCATCCCAAGAACCTTTTCTTGGCACGATGGAATGGCGAACGCCATGGCAAAAGTGTGCGTGTATTGCAAGTCAGCATCGTCTGAGAATGGTTGATGACAACATACCGATAATGGTAAGCAAAACAGAAGCCATAAAAAAGGCAACCTCAAAGCCAGCTTTACTGAATCCTCCTTTCTCTGTAGTTGCCACCTCATCATGTAGCAAAGCTTGACCCAAGAGATGTTTAACAGCCTCCAACCGCAACTTCTAGACGGTAAAAGCTTGAAGAAACCCGTCACTGCCTTGCACCCATCCGTCAGTGTTGCCCTCAAGTCTGCGAAACAGCTGGCTCCCGATCGCGCTAATGGCGATGGCGGGCGGCCATCCCTTTGTGCCGCCTCACTTCGAAGGGAATCTTCACAGGAGAACTCAAGGCCGCTTTCAAGATGCGCAAGTTACTGCCCTGACCTCGGGATTGCGTGCCGCTACTCCTCAATCCGAAATCTGATGAAGGGTTTGGGCTTCGGGTCCGGCCTTAAAACGCAAAAGCGATTTGTCCTCCCAGTTGCCACCGCGCTACGCACCTGGAACAGGTTTGATGAGCAAGTGGCTTTTATCGCTGAAAGAAAAAGGCAACAGAATGTTGCACACGTTGAGTAGTGCTTGTGGTTTTTGTAAGTAAAAATAAATGTAAAGACAGAGAAAACTGAAAGCTTTTGAGACTCGGATTATTGAGAAACAAAAGAAGGGAAATCAATTCTTCATTCTATGTCTGCTTGTATAGTTTATGATGAATCGTTATTTGAATTGATCGTATTATAATCAACCATTTATCCTGTAGATATTGCCGTAGAACGGACTGTGGACGAGCGGCAAGAGAATACGGTTGTCCTTGTGGCTTTTGGTTGACAAGGAGACGGTGAATTTGTGAATGTGGATCGCATGATTATTTTATGGCATGATTGTTTTATGTCAAAGGTCGAACCCTGGATAAAGATGGTCATAAGGTCCATCTTCACTGATTAGGATTTGAGTGTGGTATAACTCGATACATTTGCACTGTCTTGAGGATGAGACATATCCGTGGATATGCACATAATGCGATGAAAGAGGAATATGTATATGTGGAATACCTTATTTTATTATTACCACGTCTACACTGGATGCAACTCGAAATGCAACTCGGAACTTCATTGGATGGTTTTTCCTCGATACCCAGCCCTCATTGGCTTATTTTGCTAAATGTGTAACGTCTACACTGGCGGCACTCGAAATGCAACTCGGAACTTCATTGGTTAGTTTTTCCTCGATACCTAGCCCTCATTGGCTCATTTTGCTAAATGTGTATCGTCTACACTGGCGGCACTCGAAATGCAACTCGGAACTTCATTGGTTAGTTTTTTCTCGATACCCAGCCCTCATTGGCTTATTTTGCTAAATGTGTAACGTCTACACTGGCGGCACTCGAAATGCAACTCGGAACTTCATTGGATGGTTTTTCCTCGATACCCAGCCCTCATTGGCTTATTTTGCTAAATGTGTAACGTCTACACTGGCGGCACTCGAAATGCAACTCGGAACTTCATTGGTTAGTTTTTCCTCGATACCTAGCCCTCATTGGCTCATTTTGCTAAATGTGTATCGTCTACACTGGCGGCACTCGAAATGCAACTCGGAACTTCATTGGTTAGTTTTTTCTCGATACCCAGCCCTCATTGGCTTATTTTGCTAAATGTGTATCGTCTACACTGGCGGCACTCGAAATGCAACTCGGAACTTCATTGGTTAGTTTTTCCTCGATACCCAGCTCTCATTGGCTTATTTTGCTAAATGTGTAACGTCTACACTGGCGGCACTCGAAATGCAACTCGGAACTTCATTGGATGGTTTTTTCTCGTTACCCAGCCCTCATTGGCTTATTTTGCTAAACGTGTAACGTCTACACTGGCGGCACTCGAAATGCAACTCGGAAATTCATTGGATGGTTTTTTCTCGATACCCAGCCCTCATTGGCTTATTTTGCTAAATGTGTAACGTCTACACTGGCGGCACTCGAAATGCAACTCGGAACTTCATTGGTTAGTTTTTCCTCGATACCCAGCCCTCATTGGCTTATTTTGCTAAATGTGTAACGTCTACACTGGATGCAACTCGAAATGCAACTCGGAACTTCATTGGATGGTTTTTCCTCGATACCCAGCCCTCATTGGCTTATTTTGCTAAATGTGTAACGTCTACACTGGATGCAACTCGAAATGCAACTCGGAACTTCATTGGTTAGTTTTTCCTCGATACCTAGCCCTCATTGGCTTATTTTGCTAAATGTGTAGCGTCTACACTGGCTGCACTCGAAATGCAACTCGGAACTTCATTGGTTAGTTTTTCCTCGATACCCAGCTCTCATTGGCTTATTTTGCTAAATGTGTAACGTCTACACTGGATGCAACTCGAAATGCAACTCGGAACTTCATTGGTTGGCTTTTCTATGATATCCAGCCTTCATTGGCTCATTTTGCTGAACGCGGCACCTCACTTGTCACTTTGCTGATACCAGCTCAGAGTGATCGCTCATTGTCTGATTTCCTCCCTAATACCGTTGGCACCATACAAAGTCGTTATCAGCTTTGTATGCTGAACGACGATCAGAACAAGTGATGAGTTGGCTTTCTTGCAAGTTGAGGACATATAAACGCCAGGTATTGTCTGATAAGACCATCCCGTGGGCCAAAGTGTATATCGTTCTTGGCTTCAGCGCCAAATATGGTCTTAACAACCATATTCATTAACAGCCGAATCCTCGCTGATTTTGCTTTGCAACTGACATCACCTGTCATGACCATTCCCGCGCACACGTTGTCTTGGCGATAATGCATGGCCATGTGCATTATTGGTCCAAGCACACTTGTTGCCATGCTGGTCCATGCGCTTACCCCTATACTTGCTCTTGTGTTCTCCTCTATCGATCTATGCGTTACCTCATGTTATGCTCTGCATTTCATTTATTTATTTTATTATCGTTGTCTCTTCTGTTTCGCATCTTTTAGTATAAATACCCCGATCTCTTTTATGAAATAAACCCCAGTCAAGAATTGTGCGTGTGTGTGTATTCTCTCGTACTATCTTGTTCTCCATCTTGTCTTGTCCTTGGCTTGGTTCTTTTCCTGTTTATATTCTTGTTCCGATTTCGTTCTTATTTCTGTTTTATTCCTTTTCTTGTATTGTCTTGTCCTTGTCTTGCGAAAGCACTTAACACCACCCTCTTGTCCAGCTTGCACTGATCCTCCCGTAATCAGTGCATAACATCACCATCCAGAAAGTTGTTAATCAAAAATTTTCGTTGAACTTAAACAATCGATCCCCTCGGCGTCACTTATATTTTGATTTGATTTTTTCAAGAAGTTCTGTCGGCGACTTCTCCTTCACTTTGCCTAACAAGTACTGTACAACCCCGGGCGTAATGTAATGAGCAAGCTGATACAATATGATAAACATGTCAATAATTTCTTTCTCAATGAGATCAATGGCATAGGCCCCCTTTTTTTTTGCCATCGGTCTATCTAATATTCCTGTTCTCTTTTCGTTCCTAGATAAACATGCTGTCGATCAATATGTGTCAAGGCCCACAAAATGAATGAACTCCTTGAAAGCACATGTCCTTTACACCGCCTCATTTGCACGACATGATAATTCCTCTGACACCCTGTTTATGTGGAAGTGAATGGCATTTTATCGTCGGTTGATTGGTTATGGTTTATCTGTACTGAAGCATCACTCGATATCCCCAGTTGTACTCGTTATCATCATTCATAACACCACTACACAGTTGGCCAATCCTGCTGTCATATCGGAGAAGCAACCCTATCTTTTGGAGCTACCTTGTGACAGTTGGGCAAAGTCGTGCAACATACTCAACGCGTCTTCCATTTCTGATCATTTACAGCACACTCCTTTGAATCCTCTTGTCGCTCTGGGCTATTTTTTTTTTTCTTTATCCAACAAATCGATGATACCGGAACCAAGGGCTGGCAATTTGTTGAAAAGTATCGCAAAGACCACGGCGCTTTCAACTGGGAAACCGCTTTTGAACTGGGAACAAGCGCCAAGTCAGCATATTATCGTGAAAAAAAAGGCAAATAATTTTTCAACGTCTATTATTGGTCATATGCATATTAAACTTGTTATCGACAATTATCATCCATATCATTGTACTTCATTGTTACTTTTATGCTGTATGCGAAACTATAGTAATACTGACCATTGATGCTTTTTCGCAAACGGTGGATCTGCAGGGTGGCAAACAGCGTCCACTCAAGTTAGTATCATTGCGTAAAAATAAGATTATGATACCTCCTCGATACCTATGTTACACAAAAGACGATGTGTTGACTTAATACCAGCTGTATACTGTGCAATACAAAAGCAAGGCTTTGATTTTCATACTTCGTTGTGCTGTGTTCCTAGGACAAACTCCGTCCGCTCCACTTGACCTTATTCCCGATGTTGTTGGTTAACGCAAACCGCGATTTTCTTTTCAGATATTGAGAAATTGCTGGTACATCTTCAGGATCGGAAGTGAAGTTACACAAGTAGAGTAAGAGGCGTGATATCGGCATAGCACCGGACGCATGTCACAGCGAATACTGGCGTACTTATTAACGCACAAGTGTCATATAATCTTGTCGCTTTATTTTGAATATGATGTCAACTACGTTTATCGATAACATGGTCCTAGCAACATGGTCGATGATGAAGATGATGTAGTCGCCGTTGTCGAACTGGACGTTAATTTTGAAACCGACCCGCTTGATTCTATTACTAACTTTAGCGAATACGTGTACATGAAACCACCTTAGAAACCTGAGAAGGGTGTCAGCGGGTGTTGAGGAAAACCGAGAGCGAAAACGAGCAGGGCTAGAAGTGTCCGATAACTGCCCTAATATATAACTTTACGACCGGAAGTGCAAAGTAACCTTTAAGAAAGTACATCTCTAATCAATCGCTCGAGATTTACCTGCTAAGATTGAGGAAAGGTTCAACCGGGTGATGCATGGTTGAAGAATGACATGAAATCCTTGCAGCAACTGTGATTTCATTGACGAATCAGCATTTCGCACTAATCTAAACGAAACTCTACATGGTTAACTAAAGGTACTGAACAGTAACAGTGCCAAGACAAGATCGCCATTTCCCCTTTCAGTGTTGTTCAAATATCAATTAGATCCCCAACAACAATACCTTCTTCCAAAAAAAAAAAAAAAAAAAAAAAAATAGCAGCCAGAGGGTCCAAAATCAAAACTGGATTTGAACAGCTTTTCTGGCTATTCTGCTTCAAAGTTGGATGATTGCGTAAAGCGTAAACCTTCGTAATAAACGAGCTATAAAAGCTCACCTCATGTCTATATACGTAGTTAGTTTTCTTTCAAGTATGATATATATATATACTATTCTCTGCGAGACTTTTTATCATCATGATAAATACAACGACAAACGACAGAATTATTTGACACTTGTTCGCTAATAATTACGCCAGTATTCCCCTCTACATTTGCGTTTGTGCTGTGCCGATATTTCGAAACTTCACTCCTCGATTTTGGGTTAACCAACCACATCGGAACGGAAAAGTGGAGCCGGCGGAATTTGTCCTAGGAACACGGGACAACGAAGTATGAAAGAAGAATCAAAGCCTTGCTTTTGTATTGCACAGGTAAACAGCTAGTATTAAGTCAACACATCGTCTTTTGTGTAACATAGCTACCGACGAGTACCATAATCTTATTTCCGCGCTGATACCAACCTTGAGTGGACGCTGTTTTCGACCCTGCAGATCCACCGTTTGCGTGAAACCATCATTGGTCAGTATTACCATAGTTTGGCATACAGCATAAAAAGTGACAAGGAAATACAATGATATTGACATAGTTAATACAAATATATACATGAAGAAGAAAAGCTATTGCTTCTGTTTTTTTTGTCGATAATACGCCGACTTGGCGCTCGTCCATTTTGCATAGCTTTTAAATAACCCTTTTGTTTTTCCCAGTTGAAAGATGCTCTCCCAGTTGCAGGAGCCGTGATCATTGAGACACTTTTCAACAAACTGCCAGTCCTTAGTCCTAGAATTATTTGTGTTGTTTGGCAATGCAGTTGCTGATGGCTCCTGCTGGTCGTTGATGATAATTAGAATTTGGTCTAAGCAATCGATCGTCCGCTTTCTTAAGGAAACATCGGAAACATCCTCGCACAGAGCCGTTCTTGCCCTGCTGCACTGATCATAAATTTGTCGTAGAACATCCGTCGTGTTTGATGCGGTTTGCAAATCATTACCGAATATTTCTTTCGCGATATTATAAAGTTGTTGAATGGTGATATCGTCGTTTCGATCAATATCCCGTAGCAATGGTTTTTGTCGGATTAAGAAATGGCCAAGCGCGACAAGAGGATTCAAAGGAGTGTGTTGTAAATGATCAGAAATGGAAGACGCGTTGAGTATGTTGCACGACTTTGCCCAACCGTCGCAAGGTAGCTCCAAAAGATAGGGTTGCTTCTCCGATATGGCAGCAAGATCGGCCAACTGTGTAGTGGTGTTATGAATGACGATAACGAGTACAACTGGTGGTGCCGAGTATCGCTCAATTATAGATAAACCGTAATAAATCAAGCGACGGTAGGATGCCATATTCGCTGTGTACAGGACTTTCACAAGAACAGGAGGCAGAAGCTTGTCCTGTCGTGCAGATGAGGCGATGTAAAGGACATTGGACTCCGAGAAGTTCCTCCAGTCGATCGGCCTTGACACGTATTGATCGACAGCATGTTGACCTAGCAACGAAAAGAAAACTAGATATTAGATAAAGCAATGGCAAAAGATGTGAGCTCATACCAATCATTTCATTGACAAGGATATTATTGACACGTTTCTCATCTAATATTAACTTGCTCATGAGATCACGCCCCGATCTGCACTTGTCAGGCAAAGTAAAGGAGAAGTCGTCGATAGAATCTCTTGAGGATTCTGAATCACTCATGATAAGTAACGCCTAGGGATCGATTAAGAAAATTCAGGAGAATTAGCACAGGAATTCAATCTATTGTACGGCACTAGACTTATATGATTATCAATAATCAAATATCATCTCCATTCTCTGATCTCAATAGCGTGCTGACGTCACTGAACTCAGCACAGTACACCAGAGGGCGTACCTTCAACTTGTAATATCGAGTCCGATGATTCGAAATGTTACGGCCCTTTGCCACGAAACAGAAAGATATCATGTCAGTCGAGTCATATTGAGCATACGATAGGGATGTTTTTGAAAGGACACAATATACTGCAATGTCAGCACTTCAAAAAGAAATAAAAAAGGCGAAGGGGAAGTCTATGCAAAAAGCATTTTGTGTGCTCAGCCACCAAATATTTCATCCTTCGCTCCATTTGTGCCCCCGCCTTTTTCCAAAGCGGATGTGCCGAGTTTGGGAAAAAGCAAGGTCGAATTTCTAACGGATCATAAATGGGCATATATGATTGGACCAAATGTTCAGCCTTTTCAATTGTCCAAACACTCAACTTTACAATGGTTTTTTTTTGGGACACAATTATAAGACAACGCTGTCAACAACGATCAAGTATGCTCAACGTAAGGGCAACGCTTACTATTATCATAGCTTTTTGAGGAAGAAATTTTTTTCGATAAATCCGAAAATAAGAAAAAGCGTCTATTCACCCACTTTTCTTCCTTGCCGATATGAAAAACGCTGGCGAAATAAAAATATCTTTATGGCAACGTCCTCTAAAACATATATGCAAAGCATTTCGGGCGGAATCGTGCAATTCATGAACTCCATTAGCTTCATGTTGCATTCAATGCATAATGGGTGGAGCTGGAGACTGCCATCACACTGCGACTTTTTTTGAGCATGTTTTTTATAGTGCCGCGCCTTTTTGCTATTCATAAAAAGTGTATTCTTTTCTCTACACTGTCCCGAAATCCGGGGCATCTTACTCCAATTCATTCCACTGCCATTGCCAATTCTGCATGGGATCATCATTAGGAATGATGCTCAAATGACGCGAATATTGTTGCTTCTTCCTATGACGGTTGTCACTTCACCTGAACGTATCTCGCTCATATTTCACTTCTTATTACACGTTCTAATTTCGCATCTCGTTTTCTCATCCACATGACACCTTGCGCTTCTCACATTACCAGCTGAATCAGATGTCGGGTCACTATCGGGTCATCGGTTCGGGTCAGAGACTGACCAGAACCGTCTACCAGTTCAAAAATAGTCGACTCGACCCAGTTTTTATCGGTTCAAGCTAGTTTGGATCACTGACGCGGCGACCTGTTAAGGAGCTCTATTCCCGCTTAACTGACATAACATCCCTGTACACTTGAAAGGGTCACCATATATGATAGAGTTTAGTAAAGAAGTGTATCTAATCAAAGTAACAGGCTGGAAATCTTTTAAGGCAATATTTTCAGGTGTCCGATCTTTGGAGGAAGAAAAGAAGTGCTTACTGTAGTACATTTCTATCATTATGGTATTGTGATATGCTACAGTAGTGCTTGTCTATCATCTATGATAAACTTTAATAACGAAGTATATTCTAGCAAAGAGGGTTCCTCATAGAATTGGATCGATCAGATCAGGTCAGACCTATCTTATTATACATATCATTACTGTATACTGTACCATCTCTACAGTATCTCTCATCTATATGATATCACTCCATCATATCACTTAGTCATCTATGATTAATCTACAGTGGAGGTAAAAATGATTCTCGAAATTGTGATTTTTTGACGTTTTTATGGCTGGGTGGATTTTCCACATAAAATCTGCAATTTTTTTTCCATTCCCATAATCAGCGAGCTCTTTTTTACTATGGTGTGAATTTTCAGTCATCTCATGTCAGTTCTTTTCATCTTCATTTCAATTATTTCATGGAGGCATCTCGAGAACCATTCTTACAGTATCTTTAGTGGAGATGCAAATGTTATTACAGAAATGCATACACAAAACATAGGAACATTTTTTTAAAAATGGATAAATAATAACATCTTGATATAGTAAGTAAAACAGAAGTCCTTAAAACGTATTCTTATACTAGCATTCTTGAATCCACCTTTCTCTAATCACCATTTTATAATTATGACCATAACATGCACCAAAAACTAACTGAAGATAAGCTTAACAGCATTAAAGTATATCTTTTTGAATGGCAAAAGCTTAAAGAAAACTGTAGCTGCTTTGCACTTGTCTATTAGTATTGTTTCAAAGTATATGAAACAACTACTCTCTGATTGTACTAATGGAGATGTTGGGTGGCTATCATTTTTTTCGAAGACTATGGCCGTCTCTAATCATAGAAAAGTCCTCACAAGAGAACTTAAAATTGCTGTTGAGGTATACAAGTACTGCCTTGGTCTCAGTATTGATTGCCACTACTCATTTATCTGTAATCTGATGAAAGATTAGGCTTTGAATCCACTTTAAGATAAAGAAGCCTTCCCTTACTGCCAGACACAAGAAAGCAAGACTGGAGTAGACAAAAGCCCATCAAAATTGAACTATTGACAACTGAAAGCAACTTGTTTAGTCAGATGAGACGAAGATCAATATCTGGGATTCTGATAGTATCAAGTAGGGTTCCTTAACGGGTCGGCGGGTCAGTGACCCGAACCGAACCGAACTGGTTTTTTTTACGGTTCGGGTTGACCTTTTCTGACCCGCCCACCAGTTCGGGTCAAGGCTTGACCCGACCCGTTGACATTACGGGTCAATGACTGAACCGACCCGTTGACATCACGGTTCAACCGCTGACCCGACCCGTTGACATCACGGGTCAACCGCTGACCCGACCCGGTAACCCGTTAGTGACCCGTAAATCTGATTTAGAATGGTGATGACATGGCACAGATTCCAAATGAGGACGCAATTAAAGAAGCAGAATCAGAATCAGAATTTATTACGAATGAAAAGAAAATCTATGGCAAAGACAAAAAAAGAAAAACAGAGGATAAAAAATAAAGAGAACGGAAGATATAAAAAGGAAGAAAAAAAGGAAATAAAAAGAGAACGTAAGAGAAAAAAAAAGAAAGAGAATGGAAGAGCGGAAAAAAAAAAGAAAAGAGAAGAAAAGTGAACGGAAGAGGAAAAAGGAGAACAAAGGCGAAAAAAAAAAACCGAAGGGAATGGGAGGAGGAGCTTAAAGCCACGAGTTCAGAAGGATACTCTGCTTCAACGGCTCAGGTTGCAACCGATTGCGCACAGCAGGAATGAAATGCTTCGCACGAGAAAAAAACCGCTCGCATGGCGTCGATGTTGCTGGAATGGCAAAATACTTGCGTGCCATCTTCGCCAATTGAGGGTACTGGACTTGCCCCACAGTTCGCCAAAACAAAAGCTCACAGCTGTCTTCATCGTCATTGCTGGGTCCGGCCTCAATCAGCAAAGGTGCCTCCACATATGCTTGCAACGAGTCAAGCACCCGGCGTCTTTTCGGTCGGTACACATCGCGCACGTCGTCACTTCTGTCTTCCTCAACATGATCAGGGCCCTTCCATTCCGCCCAAGCTGACTGAACTTTGCACTTCGCATCGGCAATGAACTCTGGCTCCCAGTTCTGTTCCGTCCAGTACGCGTACTTTAATCGCGGATCCAATGCTGTTGCCGTCGCATACACAGGGCTTTGGTCTGTTTTAGCATAAAATTGCTGCAGCTTTTCCTGTGCTCTTCTTGCTGCTTCGGAGAGTTCAGGCGGATTTCTTTCATCGCGGAAATCCTCGATCTGATCGAGCAATACATTGTATGCAAAGACTACGATGTTGATCGAAGGATACCTATTTTCAAAACCATCAGAAAGTCGTGTAAAGTCAAAATTCAAGCTATATTTCATACCTTGACGAAGAAACCGCCTTTGTCATCCCCGAAAACATCGAAAAAAGGACAACAACTCGTTGCAAATAGGTCACATCCTCATCTGAGAGCGCAAATTCGGAAAGTTCAGAAAAATAACGGCACGTTTCATTGTATGCCTCTCGTACTTCCAGCGCTCGCTCCACCATCACCATGGTGGAATTCCACCGAGTCTTCACATCAAGGTTCAATTGCTTGACCTCATGGTACAAACTCTTGCATGAATCAATATAGAACTTTCGGTACTTCGAGGTCGATCGTCTACAAGTAAAATTAGTTCTCTGATAAAAGCCCATTTTCATTTTTTGTATTACTCCACATACCTAATCATCTTGATCCCGGTTCGCAATTTTGACACCACATTGCTGGATTGGCCATGCTCTTCCTCATTGTCAGCCAACGGTTCTGCATGCAACCCATCTTTCAAGGCACTTTGGACGGCAAGATTCAAAATATGGCCCAAGCAAGGTAAGTGATGGTGATCCTTGTTAAAAAAAAATCTGCCATCCTGCATCGATCGTTCCTCCAGCACCTTTGCCATCTTGGCAATGTTCGAGCCATTGTCGCTGGTTATGGTGAACAAGAGATGCACCACCCCAAAATCTTCGAGAACGCGCAAGAAGATATCAGCCAGATCTTCACCAGTATGACGATCTTCGGGGTGTTCAAACCCAATCAGAAGCTCCCGTTGCTGCCAGTTGTCGTCAATAAAATGGGCCGTGATTGCAAAGAAATCTTGCCCCCATTCTGATGTCCAAAGATCGAGGGTAAATGAGAGACTTACTTGCTGCTGCAAGAGCTCCATTACCTCGATCTTCTTCTCTTCGTAAAGCGCCGCAATGTCTCTCTTGGCGGTGTCGGCGCTGACTGGCTCAGTAATCATACCGTTGCGCACCGAAGAAGCAGTGGCAACCAGTTGACGGAACTCGGGCAATTCGACAAGCGTAAACGGAGACTGGCTCTTCACCAAAAAGCGCGAAACAAGACTGCGCCAGGTATCTCTCGTTATTTCAGTCGCAGGTTGGCCTAAAGATACAACAGGAACGTTTTCAGGTAAGCATACTAAATTGTCAAATGAAAAACACCTGAGAGAAACTTACTTTGA